AAAATACAAAGTGCCATACGCGACATAGCTTATTATTCTTTCTACAGAGTGACCACTTTGAATATTTCTATTATTAGTAGATCGAGACAGATGTTTTTGTGATCTTGCTTTGATATAGAGTTGATCTATATCTGACTTGTAAATATTCTTTGAATGGATCATATATTAATTTTTATCTTATATGCATATCTATTTTATCTATCTTCCAATAGAATCATCAAAAAATAATTATTAAAATGGCCATTAAAGTAAACAGATATGGAAATGGATTTATTAAGCATAATAGAAAAATAAGACAAAATCCACTAATCTATAACAATGTTCAAGCTCGTATGTAAACAAACACAATGATAACTTACTAAATATTATGAGGCCATGTAAAACGAGCAATAAAAAATTATTCTAAACTTGGAAAAATTTTAATTTAAAAAAATAACTAATTACAATATAAACTCTAATATTCTTAATTAAAGGTTTCAAACTATACTTAGTCTTCCTCAGTGCGCAATAAAAAAATAATAAAAAATAAAAAAAATTCTAATAAAGAGTCGCAATACAATAGTCAAAATAAATTAGATAATTATGTTAAAATTAAAAGGCGAAATACGTTAACAATAAATTGAAATAATTACAAATAGTTCAACGCGAAAAGTCCCAATTAGAAGCAAAAATCGAATTAAAATAATTTATCCGGCTAATCAATAAATTTTTTAATTATTAAAACCTCGGAGTGGCACTTAAACATTTGTCCAAACCAATCACTCATCGTTAGTCGGCGAAAGGCTATCAGTTTGGCAATGACCGTGTCCATCTCCTCCAAGTTATTTAATATTTGTTATTATAAAAATTGTTCCGAATAAATTAAGATGACAATGCCTTGTTGTTGAACTTAGTACTTGACTGATCATGTTAACGTATTTCGCCTTTTAATTTTGACATAATTATCTAATTTATTTTGATTATTGTATTGCGACTCTTTATTAGAATATTTTTTATTATTTTTTATTATTTTCTCATTGCGCACTGAGGAAGACTAAGTATAGTTTGAAACGTTTAATTAAGAATATTAGAGTTTATATTGTAATCAGTTTTCTTTTTTTTTTTAAATTAAAATTTTTCCAAGTTTAAAATAATTTTTTATTGCTCGTTTCACATAGCCTCGTAATATTTAGTAAGTTATTAAGCATAATTTATAATAAAAAGATATCTTATTGCGCTTGTTGAATCTGTTTTTTTATTCATTAAAATTATGATTATAATATAAAGAATTTTATTTTAAAGTCAAATTCACTCTATTTTTATGGAATCATATAAATATTTTTTTTTCTATCTTTTGATGAATATTAATGGCTAATATTTCTTTCATATATAAGATAAAGATTTAATTAATAAATTAATATTTTGAATACAATTTATTTATTATATTTAGATTCGTTGACTTCAAATTCATTTTGTGAAATGCAGAGAGATAATTATATTTCTTATTTGATTTTTAATAAGGATTGATTTATATTTCACTAATTATTTGCTATCAATTTGACATAATTAAGCTATTATTAAATAAAAAATGTCTGTCTTTCTAACAAAATATTGGTATTTGAAAGATATTTCCAAGATATTTATTTTGTATGCGCGACTTCTGAATGCCGTGTAAGATTTAAATTACTAATCTAGGAGATTATCATGAACGACACACGCGTTGTGGTAAAAGCAGATGCACATTCACACTGCATAACTGCACGTATAACAAATGTGTTATCTTGATGCATGCACAAGGCTATTTGCAGAGCATCGTTTGAACGCGATGCGGTGTTTGCGTTCTCACGTTGGTCATCGCCACGGAAAAGCCTCATAGTTCTATTGTTCGATTTGTTACGCGTGAATTTTCCTGAGTTGTTCGCACATTCCGCAAATGTTCGCACCATGAAGTCACGTCGTGTAAAATTCGCCCAATCTCCAAAAGAGATTGGAAATAAATATAGTATTATTGAAAAAAGATTTTTTTTGTTAGAAATAAACCAGAAATTATTTATTAAAATTGTAGCAAGTATCATAACATTTTCTCAATTTAAAAATAAGATCTTACATCAACTCTCGAAAAATTGCAACTTTAAAAATAATTAAAATGAATCTCGCACTATACAAAATATTCTGCATGTCAAAGCCTATTCCGACCATTTTTATCATTCACGATCGATCGATCGTCTGATCCATTTGATATAAAAGTTATTTAAAACGAAGCTAACGCGATTATTCGCACGGGAAGGGACGAATGTGAAAGTGAAATTGAGAAATGATGTACAAATTTTATTCGTATGCTATAAGCGCGCGGTGAATAAATAACACAATCGGCGTTATGTATACCGCGCGTCGTTGTTACGAATTACGTTTTACCTGCTTATGGGTCTTCCTGACAAACCGCCGTAACCGATGCCGATACGATCGCAAATGAACGACACACAATCGGTGTCGCTCTTAATTTGCACACCGCTCACGCACTCATTTGATCGTGCCCGATGTGATACCTGTTCATGATTAATCGCAATGTAGACCTGCATGTTGCACGTTGCTAACTTTTATATACGCTGCTCGAAATATATAGAGAATAAAATTTTGTCATTGCAGTAAAATCTCCATTACTATTGCATAGTACAGTGTATGTATAAATATGATCCTAATAAGGAATTCTTATAAATTTTAGCAAAACTGTTTATTCAATAATATAGAAAAGAATTTACTTTTAATAAAATATTTAAGTTTTTCTTTCTCTCGCACTAATCTTATGTAAAAATGGATTTCGGTTAAATCAGCTGATTTCTTATGTTGTAGCTTATGACTTGATGAACAAAAGATGTAATGGCTGCAAAAATAAATAATGAATAATTGCTAATTTACAGTCAAAGAACTCGCAAAATCCGAGTTTGACTGGTTGTAAATCAGTAATTATCTATATTATTTAACTTTGAACATATTATATTTTCTGTTCAGTAGATCAAAAACTACAACATACGAGAAAACTAATAGATTTTACTAAAATTCAATTTTATATAGAATTAGTGTGAGGTTGATTTTGAATTTATATGCAAATCTAGATGATATTAAATCTCGGTAAAATCAGCTGATTTTCTCATATGTTGTAGCTTATCTACTGAACAAAAAATATAATAGGCTCAAAGCTAAATAATAAATAGTTATTGATTTACAACAGTTAAATACGAAAAGTTTTGCAAATTGTTTGACTGGCTGTAACTCAGTAATTATCCATTATTTATATCTTTGCAGCTATTATATCTTTTGTTCAGCAGGTAATAAGCTGCAATAACATATGAAAAAACCAGCTGATTGAACTGAAATCCATTTTTACATAAGATTTAGTGTGGGGAATTTTATTTTTGCAATTAAAACGTCATTTTTTTAATGATAGAATAAAAATTAGTTTATTATAGAAAAACAATTTATTGAGTAATCTTATTTTTCAATTAATTCAACTTAAATTTTAACAGATTTTTTTAGATTTTATTGTTGCAATACTTAATTGAGAAAGCAAAATCTCTCTCGTAAAAAGTGTTGATTTCTCATAAAAAGATTTTATTAGAGGAAAATTACAACACTTATGATAAAATGTGTGGACATCCCATACATATAGTTTACTTTGTATCTTGTTAAAGAAATGAACGGGGCCTACTTATTTATTACTGTCGTAAATTTTTCTTGTTTACGCCCAGGATTTTATGAACTGCAAAATCTTTAAAAGGCCGTTCACTGATAGAAGGTCGATAGTGATATTTATGCTAATTTTTCTAGTCGTCAAAAAATTTTTTGTCAGATTAGTTTTTATCGTATGTCTAAGTATAGTTTCGCGAACGGTGGAAACCCAAGGATTAAATAGAATATAATAAAATCTCAATCGTTTATCTTTCTAAAGCAACACCCAATATGGGAATTGTTATAATAATGTACATATTTTTTTATTAGATTTACCAAAAATTCCCGCGATGACGTAAAGTTGTTCGGCAGTTGTGAAGCCATTATAAAAACGATCTCTGGGTTTTTACGATGTCTAACACGAAATAAAAGAAAACTGTACCCTTAGAACTCCGGTTACGCGTCAGCTCCAAGAGATATAAGAAAAGAATGATGATAGGGAAAACCAAACGATCAATGTTGAGCCCTTTTGTTATACTTTCTCACAGAAGCAGTCACTCCTATCTTGCAACCAAATCGGATTATTTAACATGAAAGATCGATAGTTAAGAGAAAAAAATTTAACCTTGAAGCGGTCTTTAACTCTTAAAAAGGATGACCTGCAATATTCGTTTAGTAATTCGCGAATTGTTTTGACAAATACGCGAGTCTCTTCATTTTTTTTTAACTTGTCTGTTACACATACCTAATTTTTTTCGTATAAAAATTATACTATTAATATACTTGAAGCTGTGAGATTAAAATGACCCGAGGGGAATTACTCTTTTTTTCTGCTCCAAAAAGCGATCGTTTTATTAACGTGGAATAGCCCGCGTAGGAATGTCGACGCGGCGCCGAATAAAATTAAGGAACGCTTTTTTGCGCTTTTTGCATACCTCTGTCGCGGCGGCGAATTCGTAAGAAATCGCCGATATAAAAATAGCATATAAAAAGACCAAGTATTTAATAAGTTTATTTACAGTGTTAATGAATTGTCGTCTTATTTCATCCATTTCACTCTATGCCGTATGAGAGAACCGTAAACTTTCTTCGACTATACGCACATCGCGCGCAGGAATTTCAGTGCGGCGCCGAATAAAATTAAGAAGCGCTTTTTTTAGTATTTTTTTACGTCTTTAGTCACTTTAGGAATTTCCTGTAACACGTAAATATACTAGCGTAAAATAATGTATACTTTTGTGATGACTATATTAGAATTTGTAGACAAAGTTTATTTAAATTCGAAAACAATGTATAATTATTTCTAAATGAATAATTTTTTGCACATTTTTTAAAACAATAGAATTGTTTGGCAGTATACTGAAATATTTTGCAGTACTTATTCTCATAGTTTCTATTATTAGAAGCATTTTTAGTACTAATCAATGAAATGTGTTTGACCTATGAAGATGTTTTTCTCAAATACCTCAAGATAAACTTCTCATCAAGTATCTAATTATTTATGTATTAAATAATAATAATATACAGAGGATATTGGATCACAAGACATATATGTGCAGTTTGCACATTATTGGCATAAAATATGTATATAAAGTATAATGAGAGGATAAGATCTCTTTAGATTGTATTGAGCTTTCAACATTATCCAAAAAAGTTACATCTGTGAATTTAATTAAAACAATTATTTAATAATTTATAAAGCATTGGCGAACCTGTCTATCTAGTTCATTCCATATTGTGATACAAAAAAAAACTAAGCTTTCATCGACACTGCACGTGTCTGCGCACAGGAATTTCGGCATGGCGCCGAATAAAATTAAGGAATGTCTTTTTTTTTCTTGTGTCGCGTCAGCGCGATTTCCTAGAGCGGGTAAATACTTTCCGGATCCCGTGGACTCTGCTCCTCGTACTGACGTATGCACGAAATCCGGATATACGAATTAAAGTGGGGGCTCTCGGAGGCGCGTAGTCACCACTGAGATGCTCATGTCAACATAAAACGAAGCGGCAAACGAGACCGGAGCTCAGTGTGTACCAGACGGTCGATCGCTACACGATCTGTGCGAAAGCTTCAGTTGTTGATTGTTTGCCAACAATCGTGACAGCGACAATTGCGCGTGATTTTTCATACCGGTCGGCGTGAAGCGAGTGTCGCGAATACGTGAAAACGAAGAAGAAGAGTAAACAAGCACGACAAAGACGACGACGACGACGACGATGATGATCAGCAGGACTCTTATCGTGAAGGTCACCACCTGCATTTTGCTAGGCTGTTGCGTGACGATGCGAGTTACGGGCTCGGCGATACCGATGTGGGAATTTCTCTCGAGAGATGAGAAAGTGAGTACTAATTGTAAGAAGAATCATTAATTACTCCAAAATATAACAAATAGTTTGATGCGAAAGATTTATCGATTTTTTTTATTAAAGTTTTATTAAATAAAAAATGTTATTCAGTGTCTAAATAAAAATTTGAGGAACTCCTTTCGAGATGAAGAAGTATCGAAATTAGCAAATATTCCAATTGGAAAAATTTACTCTAAAATTGTAATTTTATGTTTATACTTTTATTTTTTGGTAATATAAGTACGATAAATTATTTGCATCATTTTAATATATTGCATGTAATGAGTAAAAAGATATGAGACAGGATATAAAGTACTTTAGATTTATCCATTATTCTCTAAGGTTCGATTACACTAATACCTGTTATTTTGGCTTTAAGACTTAAATATGCATCTATCGTTAATTTTCTTTTTAAATGAATAAAAACAAATACATATTTAAGTCTTGCTTAAAACCAAAATAGCGTTGGTACAATCAGATCTTAGTCACATAGTCTATCAATGTAGAAAAAAGACACATTTTTTAATGAATAAAATGTCTACACGTCCTATCATCTTGGAACCAATTTTGAAAAAGAAAATTTTTTTACTGTTAAGTGTTTTATCACAACACAATTTTTATTTAAATTAATATATTGAATAAAACACTTTGCAACAATATTTTTCTCGTTTATGAAGGTTTATTACAAGAAGAAATTTACAAATGTTTTTTTTATTCACTGCTTCCCATGCATATCTAATTTTTATTTCCTCTACGTTAAATCTCTTTCATTAATCTCGCACAAAACCGCGAATGAGAGATGTTGCAAGTATCTCTTCATGGTATCAGCGTTGTTTGGTGGACTTTCACCGAACAATCGAGTGCGTTCAATGCGAGTGCGTTGCATCCGAACCACACCACACCACGTGCCGGGCGTACTCGATGTTACCGCGATCTCATTCGTATTGCAAATTTCTCTTGACAATATTCACATTCAAATGAGTCGATGAACTAGAACGTAGCCAATGGAAAATATATAAAAAAATTTTATTTCACTTTATTTATAATTTTTGCATAAATTCTCAACGAAACATCTTCGAATTTTAAACATTCAATGTAAAAAATAATTTATAGAAAAATAATTATTTATAGAAAAATAATTTAAATAAAAATAATTATCTTTCTTCCTTTATCGTTTATTTAATTCGTTTGTACTTGAATTAATTGAAACTAACTCATTTCCTTAATCCTACGCGAATACGATGTATTAGCTTTCGATTATTTGATTTGCGGATACTATCATAAATTGTTAATAATCTTAAAACATGGCACAACTATTTAGCATCTCGTAGCTATATCAGGATTTAACTTTCTCCGAGTATATTTTCTTACAAGTTATCTCTCTATACTATAAAGAAAAAAAGTTTTTGAAGACAAAATTTAAATTTTTTTGCAGCTGACATTTTATTTTAAATACGATTTAATGTTCGAAACAATCCTCAAAATTAAATATCACGATATCCTCTATAAGATTAAGGTAAAAGATTCGACATGCTTTTCTATTTTTTGTTTTAAACAGTATCGATGATATCAGTTTTAAATAAAGGGATTGAGAATCCTCTTTTTCAATTCTCAAAGAATGTCTCTCTAACATAGCTATTTTAATCGAAAATTATTTTGAAACTATATAATTATATTTTTCTTTTTCAATTTTATTTGACAAATAGACTATATGCTCCAATCAAACACTGGTTAATAAGTTTTCCGATAATGTGAATAAATGATATGTTTGTTGTAGTGGAGTTGTAATAAACATCAGGATTTTAGATTAATTTCAAGCTGCTCAATATTATCAATCAATAGTCATTCTTACGATTTTACATTTCAATATCGCACCTATTATTTCAAAGCTCTTATATTTCTCATAGAATATTGTCAATACCTGTAAAGTATTATACGGTAAGGAAATATTATAAAAATTTGAAAATTATCGTGATTACAACGATCAGCTACCACGAAGATAATTACGGTGAGTGTTAATTGTCGCCATGACACGATAATCGCGCGAATTCTCGAAAGCCAACGAACATACAAGAGATCATAAAAATCTGCTTCCAACGTATATCGGAATATTAATTAGTATTTCTTTCCGATATTCATTGACCTATGAAATTTCGAGAATTCCTGAAAATAAAATTCCTTAAAAACTACATATAAATATTTAATTATAAATAACATGTTACATGTTAATTGTATTAATGAGAAATATATGTGGATTTTTTAGCTTCTTTAAATATATTTTTATTTGCTGATATTGATTGCAAATAAATGTTAAAGCTAAAAATAGAACTCAATGTATACAGAACCTTGATGAACGCTGACTTACTACAAGTTATTGAAAGTACTTCATGTACTTTTAGCCAAGGCTGTAGACACGGCATTTCGCGGCTGCATGCACCGGATTAAATGTATATATGTAATACTCTTAGAGCAAGTAAAAGTGATCGCAAACGCTGAGTAAGTGTCGATTTGAAGTTCAAGAGCACCGCAGTTTATATCCGAGATTAGTTTCTTGATAGAGTTCAAATTAATATACGAATTAAATATATCGATTTCGATTGATTAGACGAGTTAAAAGGACACATATTAGAGATAATTTGACAATTTTTTCGAACTTTAAATAATTATATATACGCTGGTAAATAATACATTTAAAATTTAAATAGTGTTTAATTGTAACATTTATCTGTAAGACAAATAGATAAATTTTGAACAATTTTCTCTTTAAAATTAATTGTAATTTAAATATATAATATTTTTTCTATATATAATTAACGGGAAAAATTTTCTAAACGAAAGCGGGATACAAAGATCGCTTCAAAATGTAAAAGTATATCTCTCTAGCGTAACTACAACATACAGTCATATCATTGTCTTTCCGCGCTAATTCCTTTATAGCCGAGAGTCTCGCTAAAAAAATCTCCGCTTTCTCCAAATTTCCGGAATTACAGCGGAAACGGGATAATAATCCATTGATCTAAAGGACATCAATCAATCATAGTAATAATCGTGTTGAAAAAACATGCGAGATGAAATGAACATGAGATTATTTTCTCCATTATTATTATTATTATTATTATTATTTGTTTCCAATTTGAATTGATTTAGGTATTTAATTATTTTTTTTATATAAAGAAAACAACACACACATGTTTAACGACAAAATCAAAAAATTTTCAGAAGATGCTCGAAATTTTTAAACAACTTTGCCCGATTACCATCTAAAAAATTTTTTTAATTAAAAAAAATGTTTGTCATAAATTCTTTTGAATTTGTTTAACTTTAATCTCAAATATTTATGTTAAAAGTGATATATCAAATGGATTAATTTATATTCTCAATCTGTAAAATTGATAAATAATGTGCCAGACAGTGTCGAAAAGCGAGAAACAAAAGTAGACAAAACAGGATACCAGGGAATATTGTTGATTACAGAAGTATGATTAGAAATTCTAAGATCGGATGTGCGCGTCATCGGAGCCGTAAAAGGTGTCCGCCCATGTGGACATCGTTCTCATTATCCTCATTGTCGACGCGAGATCATTTGCCATATTTCACGCAATTGACGAAAAAGACGGTATCACGCAATCAAATACGTGATGAACGGGACGTCGCATTGCGCATGCATACCATATCTCTCTTCGCTTTTAACTGTCAGTTCCATCACTGGTGTTACATATTGCAGAGTTTCACCGGACGCGATTGGAATGCGGTCCTATCGCGACATTCCGCGAATCGACTATCTTTCAAAAGATTTAACATAAAAAGCATATTAATAAATGTTATTCTGAAAATTAATGATTCATTGTCTCCTTCATTCTCTTCTCGAGAATTAATGTACCGCATATTTATATTTTGCAGATCAATGAATTATTACAACAATTTTCAAATAAATATTTTCTCTCGTTTCAGATGAGTCACTTGTATGGATTATTCAGTAAACAAGTAGCACAATTCTGTGCCGATTCATCGAGGCCGGACTGCAATAAGAACCTGCTTGTATCCGGTATAAGGAGCCTCGCCAGCATGAACGACAACGTTCTCGATCAGCTGGATCCCTATCAGCGCGGCGCCCAGGAAATGAGTAAGAACTCGTTCCTATAACCATCCTGAAAAAAATTTTGTTGCATTAACAAAAATTCTATTCGAAAGTGGACGAAACAGAATTACTGGTTGAATCTACCAAAATTCCTTTTAATGCAAAATTGTTTTCCAATGCAAGAGCGAAAGAAATTTCGCGTTTACGCTTTTGATCGAGACATACATATAAACCACGAATTTCAGTCTTGACATTCCATATGGCCTCGTACTCATGCTACTTTGTAATGTTCACAGTTTGGCGTGCCATGGTAGGAAACAATAGATTTACATCGAGAATTAGCAACGAAAATGACGAATCTTATTTTACAACTGGAGCCGATTTACTAGGTGAGTGTTGAAATGATAATTGAAAAAAAATTACTAAGAAGCCTTTCGTGGTCAATAATAGTCGTTGAAAAAGAGCTCAGACATTAAGGTTTAACAATATGAGAAATATCCTGGTTTATCCGAGGAAAAAAATGATATTTGCATGTTTGCTTCTCTATTTTGAAAATCTCTCCTCGTGAACGGAAATACACATTATATCTCGAGAAAGTTTCAGTCGCGATCTTTTTTCCCTCCTTAAATTGCACCCTTGTTGATTACTTTTAATACTTCAACCGCGTGCGTTTTCTCCAATCTTTTGAAAAAAGACATCACGTCATGAATCGATCTATGATTGATTTAATCGACTCGAAAATTTTGAACTTGTGGCATTATTAGAATTTTATCGTGCTCCTTGTACCATAAACTTGTTGAATGTGCTGAATCACAAGTGAATAGAAATGAAGGCAACACGAAAGGTCGCATAGTCTGATGCAAAACTTTGTCGCGAGATACTTTCCTCTTTCAATTTCCTTCTATTAAAGTTAGATAAAATACACATAAATTTAATAAAAAATAAAATTATAATATTATCGCTTCGTTTCAATTTTAATTTTCTTTGGTACTGCTAATAAAAACGAATCATTCTTTCAAGAAAGTGATTCTCTGATTTTAAAGATAATAATTAAAAGATGTTTAAATATTTGTATTCTTTTATTATAAATTGCTTCGTGATTCATAGTAACATTTTGCAATATTAAATATTTTATAAATATGTGAATAATTTGCGTAGATTCAGTTTGTGTGTACAAAATATTGTATTTCAAGATATATAATATTTTTTTATAATCAATCGAATAATCGAGCGTTTTTGACAAATCTTAATTTTCATATAAATAACAGTCTTAAACTTCATCTAAGATATCTAGACGAATATAGATAGTGGACAGGTCGCGAAAGGAGGTCACTTTTCTCGAAGATGAGGTTCCTACGGGGGCGTACGACAGTAGCTTTCACATTTTCTCTGTGTGGCCCATATTTATCATGCATATACGCTAATGGCGCATTAACATGCGATGAAAGCCGCGTGCATTGCGTGTCCGTGATTTCAGGTGTTTATCGATCAATTACCGAACAATTGGCGTATATATGAGAAATCTGATGAGAAAGAAAAAAAAAGAGAATGTGTAAGAGAAATACTTTTCTCATGCTCGATGGAAAGAGAAACGACCAGCAATCATCTCTCTATTATGAATGATTAATTTTATTTGAAGTCAATATAGTTATTATGCTATATATTTATTGAGAAATTCATGATGTTAGATATTTACACAGCTTTTTCACTCGTCAGAATATACAGATACAATCGCGAAAGCAATTTTCTGCACGTCTATCTTACAAAGTCCCTTGTATTCTACAAATCGATGATATTCGGCCAGTTGTCGGAAGCGAAAAGAACACGGGCAGATATTGAATACCGAATTACCATAATGCGGAGGTCATGTTTAGGAAACGTGCGCAGAACGACAACGCGGCCGTTGATCCAGAATAATCATCGCCTGGGAAGGGGAGTCCGTTCCATTCTTGTTCCCTTCCTTTTACGGATATCAGTCCCTTTTAAAACGCAGCTTTTTCAACACGTCTATCATCTATCTTCTCGAATGGCATGAAAGCGCACGAGTCTAAGCGGAAATAAACATTAGAGAAACTCGACACGGAGATTGCTGAGAATTTAGAGTTGGTTGCAATATAAAGAACGATTATAATATTATATAATATTATTATAAAATATATAATGTATATGCAGGATGTGTCTAAATGAGTACGAAAAATTTTAGGAGATAATCCTTGTCGAAAATTAAAGGGAGTTTCTTATATAAACATATACTCTTAGACACCTTCCTGAATTAAGTTTTCATTTTTTTTTCAAATTTCAGACAAATTAAAAAATAAAATAAAATAAAACTTGGGGGGGGGGGGTTATTTTTTATTTCATTTTTTTGAATCCTATAGGGAGGGATATAAGAGAGTATATGTTTATATAAGAAACCTCTCTTAATTTTCGACAAAGAATTATCTTCTTTTCGCACTTATTTAGATACACCCAATTTATATATTTTATTTTATAGTCTTGTAAAATAATTATACAAAAATTTATCGAGAAATTTATACAATTGACGCTATATTGTAATGGTATAATTCGACTTCTAATATCGTTTCACGACTGAAACTATGATGATGTATCATCTCGAATGAATTTCGCATAGCTAGGTGCATATACTTCCTGGTATCTGTTATGTAAATGGGCCTGTTGCTTAATCCTGGATAACTAAATTAAAGTTCGTTTCGCGGTCACGCTGGTGCGTCTGCTAACAATAAGAGTTCATTTCTCTCTTTGATTGTTTCAGCGAGTAGCGGCAGCGAGACGAACGGCCTCGCCGAGGAGACTGCTGCGAGTGGAGATTACGTTCTACCATCGGAATCGAATAGGCCGTATCTGGCGGGCCCGATGGTAATACGTGTCTATCCAGACGGCCGACCGGTTCCAGAGGATCAGAAGCGCCCGTTGCCGAGGGACGAGGACATCGATGAACTCAGATACTCCCGTTTGCCATCGATAGAAGAGATCGAGGCTAAGAGCGGTAGCAAGTTCTACGGGAAAGGCGCGAACGAACCGACACCGGCCAAAAGGAGAATGTCCTTCGTGACCGACAAGGACTATCGACGATCGGAACAGCTACGTCTTCACGGCAATCCGCTGGCCTACGAAAGAATGGTACTTCGACGCGCGATTAATGAACGTGGAGTGCGTTACTATTGAAGAGAAAGAGGGAGGGAGAAGAGAGATCTTTCGTATTTTTTCCACTTGCTAAGAGACCTTCTGCGAAGCGGTTTCGCTACGTCGCCTCGTGAGGGAATAGAAGATTATTGGAAAAAAATTTCCGCTTAAGATTCTGCGAAGAAATGTTGCCGAGATAGATAACGTCGTGCTCACTGCGATAATATATGAAAAATACGCGAGAAAAGCTGAAGATATCTAGTGATACATCAATCGTGTGGTAGCTCGTTGCAGTAGATTTCGATTTAATAACTAATGTATAATTAATTATTATAGTATAATTAATTATACAAATTTATTGTCAACGCGCATTCTAATTTATCTGATATCGCCGTTGCGATAAGTGTATAATTATTATACTCTATTTTTTTAACTATATAGGATATGAATGTAGGACGTAGCGGGGAATGTGATTTTAAAAACTTACAATTAGTTTGAGATAAAAGTTCATTTATTATAAATCGACACATATCGCATATGTATCGATTTATATAAATAAAAGGAATTCACGGTTTCTGAACCGCCTAATTTGGCTTGACGATTGGTCGGTTAAATTTTTATCTCGATAGCATGCTCGAATAATCGCCGACCATGAAATACCATTTAGCTTTCACTTATTTAATTTTATTCATTTATTATTTATTTAATACTCAATATTTGTCATGGCAGAATATTGCGGCACAAACATTGATGGAATTTTTCAATCAATTGGATTATGAATAATTAAAAATTTTATATTTTGTTCATGTGTTAACACAAAGAAATCTTATTATTTATACATTTATTTTACAATACATTCGATAAAATACCGGTTAATTAAAATAAAATTTTCTTATTTTTATTCTACTTTTTTTTATAATGCACATTATCGCGTCACATAAGGGAACCAGTGTACCTCGCTGAAAATTATGTGTTACACATATATTATCATTTTAATCATCTTTGAATATTATACAAATTAGTTACGGATTAACGTATAATAATATATTTGCTAGAAATTATATTGTTTTTAAAAATATCCATAACTGGTTACACATATATATAATTTCTATATTACAATAATTGTAATACTCATAGATCTGTTGGTTACACAAATCGTTTGCATAAAGTAACAAATACAAAAATATATAATTATATACAATTTAAAAATCTACATGATTATTTACGCGACGATTACAATTGTTTATTATATTTATATATTTGCACTCTTATTTGTAAATAGTTGACGCCTTTATCATTAATTTTAAATATACAGATCAATAAGATAGAACTTAAAGTGTGATAAAATATTTAGAATGTAATATATGTTCCAAAAGAAACTAACAATATAAGACAATGTGATAAATTAAGACTAACGTGATACCTACTATTATATGTATATAAATACATATACATACATAGGTACAAATATATATACGTATACGAAGCTCTCTATTACATTATAAGGCACCTGAGACTTGATATATGATTGAAAATCTTTATTTCGTAACTGTTTGGAATTAACAGAATTTCATTGCTGTTAACAGATAATCATTCTATGTTTTTATATTTTATCATAAAATGATTACTTCTCATTATCTTCATTATCTTATCCAAAGGTTGAAATATTAATTATCTTAACTTTCATTTCTTTATCTCGTTATAAATAAAGAGGTGCTAATGTCTATTTTCTTAACTTTGTTATATTTTAATTTTATTATCAATAATTCAGATTACAAAACATACATTAGTACATTTTAATAATAAATGTCGTTTCACATAAGATCGTACGAAGATATATACAAATTCAATATTATTAAGATTTGATATTTAATATAATAATATGTTAACTTATACACTTTGCGATATAATAATATTGTGTATATATGTATAAGTTTTGTACAATAGTATATATTTTAGGAATAAAAAGATGACTTAAGAGCAACTATATATTGCATTCTTATATTATTTTTATACACTGATATATTAAATTTATATACTGATATATTAAATATCTGTAATTTATTAATTTATTAATTTGTATATTTTTGAAATTACAGTTCAATATATTCATTAAATACATAAAAATGCATAAATATTTATGAGATGTATTTATTCAATAAAATATATCATAAAAAATATATATTTATTTTATATATTAGTTTATACATTTACATTCAAATATTAAATATTTTATTTGTAATCTCCATTTTTTCTTTTTTATTTTAAATATATATATATATATATATATACATTTACATATAATTTTTTATATTATATTTAAATATATTTTTATATGGTATACTATTAAATATTATATATATTTAAATACCATTATTTCATTAAAAATTCATAAAGTGTTGAAAAGTATAGAAAGGCATGTGACTTGATAAATTTCTAAAATCTCATGGAAACGTCACCTTAAAGCGCACCTGTTACACGCACGTTTCGAACGATCTAGTAACATCTTGGTTCATGTTTCAACCAAATAAGGCGAAGGGCGGAACAAGTATTACGGACGTGAGTGTGTATGTGTATACGTGGGAGGTGCTGTCGTGACTGCGTACGTATTGTCATAGCTTCTCGTAGGCTTCAGGATTCTATTTGGGATTTCGTTAAATATCAGTGGTTGCATAGAGGACTGCGTACCGGGAAGATGTCGTATGAAACAAGTAAGTCGCAGTGTAAAGACACTTAAGGTGTTCGCGGACCAGCTTGCCGTATTGTACGATTTCAGAGCTGTATAAAGTATCGCTTCTCGATTTCGTCCGGTTTATTTGTCTTTGATCGGACTATAAGATTGCTATAATATATCTGGTGCAGAGAGGGATTTTTATGTGCGTAATTTTTTGCCATCGCTTGTAGTCATCGAAATGACAAGTTGTAGTTTATATTTTGTCTTTTTTACTTTTCATTTAACAATCAAAAGTCTCATCGTGCATGACTGATACGCCGGACGCGCGGCTTGGTGTCAATCTCTATATATATATATATATATATATATATATGTGTGTGTATAGGGTGTTCGAAAATTATTGGCATTTCCGTACAGTCGTAAAAGAATTTGAAATAAACGTATTGTTATTAAAAAAGTGGACAGAAAGATGTTTCTTTCATAAGGTTTCACACACAGGATATATATAAGTGATATAAGTAATAAATTTATTATTTAATTAATTTTTTCAACCATTTTTATTTAATTGGAGTTTTAAAATGTTTAAAATTTTTATACACATTACCAAAATATAATATCAAATATATTAAAAATTAAGAAGCTGTCAAACAGAAGATTGATTCTAAAACATGTCAAGATTTTTAGTTATTTTTTAGACACTTTGTATATAGACACATCAGTAAAAAGGTGAATCACAACAGATATTAAATGCTAAAGATTGGACCTCAGATAATAATTGATTACAGTTGGCATTATACTCTTTTTTTCTCTTATCAGAAAACAAAAGATATAAAAAGGAAGAATCATTTTACATTAATTATGTTGAATAAATATTTATACTGGCAAAAATCATTTAATAATAAAGAATAAATTTCAAAAATTTTTATTTTTATTTATATAAAGATAGAAAGAGAGAAAAGAAAACTATTATTAATTATAAATATAATTAATGTATACCATTCAAAATATAAAAAAAAAATTGTTTCAATAATACTATTTTCAGAGCAGAAACTATAGTTTGATGCAGGATATGTACTGTAGCTTGTCTCAAAATAATTTGAAATATTAGAATTTGGACCTATGCCAATGTATCAAGAATGAATATTTTAGTTCCAGCAACTGGATACATTATGTGTTTACATGTTATTTGATCTTTTCTGTTAAATTTTTTATAAATATTTTTTTTATTTATTTTTTATTTATCTTTAATTATAATTTAATCTTTTATTTATCTATTACTATGTATTACTATGTAACCAAAATAGTATTATACTTAAATAAATAGTAAAGAAGTAATACATTTTTTATGCACATAAATTATTTTTTATGAAATAATAAGAAATAACATATTAACTGAATATATTTAATTATTTGTTACAGATATTATTTATATCGAATTTATTTAATATATTCTTATTTATTATTAAAGATATTATATCTTTATATTGTATTCTTTATTATTTTCTTGCTTAAGTATCTCTATTTTTTTTTTACAGAATATATATTTGCCACATTACCGAGGACCCAAAGAGGGCAGCCTCTCGTGCTAGGTGGTGATCCCAAAGGAAAAAACTTTTTGTACACTAATGGCAACAGTGTTATAATTAGAAATATTGAGGTAAATTTTTATATTGCAACAAATTTTTTTTTTTTTTTTCATTTAAAGTAAATATGGACAGAAATATTAATTTATATATATATATACATATATATACACATTATTTTAATATATTTCAGAATCCAGCAATTGCAGATATCTATACAGAACATTCTTGCCCTGTGAACGTTGCCAAATATTCTCCAAGTGGTTTTTACATAGCCTCAGGAGGTAATTATTAATATATATATATATATATATATATATATATATATATGTATATGTATATGTATATGTATATTACATATATATATTTATATATTATATATATTATATATATGTTACTAATACATATAGAACTTTTAAATTAGAGATTTATACATAATAAGATAATAAATAGATTATCAAATATTATAAGTATTATGCAATATATTATAAATATATTATTTATAATATATTGCATGATACTTCTAATATTTTAAAATCATGTATCATTACTTTTATAATAAAATTGTATAATAGGATATTAACATATTAATAATAAGTATTAATTCAAAGTTTTACAGTATAATATATTCTACTTCTGTTAATTTTTTATTCCAATTTTGATATGCAGAAGAACTAAAGTAAAAATTAAACATATAATATGTTTTTATTTCAGATCAATCAGGAAAAGTACGTATCTGGGATACAGTTAACAAGGAGCATATATTAAAAAATGAATTCCATCCTATCGGTGGGCCAATTAAGGATATTGCTTGGTCACCAGACAGTCAGCGCATGGTCGTAGTTGGAGAAGGAAGAGAAAGGTGCTCATACATCAACTACAATAAACGAATATCATTAGAAAAATTGTATAATAGGATATTAACATATTAATAATTATATTTAGATTTGGACATGTCTTTATGGCAGAAACAGGAACATCAGTGGGTGAGATCTCTGGTCAAAGTAAGCCTATAAACTCGTGCGATTTCAGACCGGCAAGACCGTTTCGATTAATAACTGGAAGCGAAGATAATACTATTGCTGTGTTTGAAGGCCCTCCATTTAAATTCAAGTATATATAATAGCCTATGTTTATTCTATATTTCATTAAGGAATTTTAATGTAATTTATTGCCATTTATTTAGGATGACGAAACAAGAACATACTCGTTTCGTTCAAACCGTACGTTATTCGCCTGATGGAAATCTATTTGCTTCCGGTGGATTTGATGGAAAAGTATTTATATATAATGGAACAACTTCTAATCTTATTGGGGAAGTAGGATCTCCTGCGCACCAAGGTGGAGTCTATGGGGTGTGTAATATTTCTATATATTATATCTAACTCGCTTGACGTAAAAATGATGAAAATTTATTTCAAATAAATTTTAATGATTTAAAAAAAATAACAAGTAACGTTTATTTATATTATAGGTTGCATGGAAACCTGATAGTAAACAATTGTTAACTGCCTCTGGAGATAAAACTTGTAAACTGTGGGATGTAGAAACGCGTTCTTTAATCACTGAGTTCAATATGGGAACAACAGTCGATGATCAACAAGTTTGTAACTTATATAATCAATTTATGAAATAAAATCTCAAAAAAGGTAAATATGTTATTGAAATAATTTGTACTTTCAGGTAAGCTGTTTGTGGCAAGGAAAGCATTTATTATCCGTGTCACTTAGCGGCTTTATCAATTATCTTGATGTCGATAATCCTCAGAAGCCTATAAGAATAATAAAAGTAATTCTTGTTTTTCTTATTAATTTATCTTTCAAAGTTTCTATTTAACTTCTTTCTAGTGTCTTTTTTTGATATTATTTTTCAATCCGATAATTTTTAGGGCCATAATAAACCAATAACGGTCCTAACACTAAGTCCTGATAGAGGTACGATTTATACTGGTTCTCACGACGGTTATATTACCAACTGGAATGCGGAAACGGGGGAGAATGATCGTGTACAAGGACATGGTCATGGTAATCAAATTAACGGGATGAAAGCCGCGGGTAATTTACTTTATACCGCCGGCATCGATGATACTTTAAGATCAGTTGATATCGCAACAAATGCATACGCGGAGACGTCCGTAGTAAAATTGGATTCGCAGCCACGAGGTCTGGATATATATAACGATATAGCTGTAGTAGCTTCAGTCCGACAGGTAAATCTGTGTCTACGAAGATAGTTTTCGATTTCTCGAATTTATTTAGCAACTCTAAGAATTACAAATTTATTATAGAACTTGCTATAAATACATTTAAAAAAATGCAAATTACATTTATAGACACCTTCCATATATAATAAATTTATCATTTGCATAAAACACAATGGTATTCTTTACAGATCGCAGTTACGCAAAACGATAAAAAGTTGTCGAATTTATCCATTAATTACGAACCATCGTGTGTATCAATTAATCAAGAAACTGGAGATGTAGCTGTTGGCTCTACATCCGATAATAAGGTTCATTATTTATTTTTATAGTATATGAAAATATGTAAAAGAATAAGATTTATGTTATCAATATGTATAATTTATTTTATGTAGGTTTATATTTATGAATTGTCGGATACTATACTAACTCAAAAGACTGAATTAGAACACCTGGGTCCAGTTACAGATGTTTCATATAGCCCTGATAATAAATATTTAGTTGCCTGTGATGCAAACAGAAAAGTTATATTATATGCTGTACCAGAATATAAGGTAAAGTAACATTTTATAGAGAATATCATTTTTTAAAATAATTATTTAATTTTTAATTGTATACAATAAAGAAATTTAGATTTTGTATGATTAAGCTTATATTTGTCGTGATATAGATAAAGAATGTAGTGATAACAAATTTTAAAATAATTAAATTTTCTTTAAATATTTTTCTATTGCCAAAAAATTGCATTTTTACTTCTAATGTCAATTAAATCGGTTTTATAAAACTTATATATAATATAATATTTAATTACTCAATAGAATTTAATGTACTATATACATATGTGTGTGTGTGTGTAAAATTTAGTTTCCAATGTATATATATAAAATAGTTATATCCATGCTTTCTTTAATGAATTAATTACTATTAATGATTTGTTTATATGCTTATTGGATTACCCCAGAGGGTGAGTGACATAAATATAATTAAGAATCCATACTATGCAAGTCAATTACATAAAAACATAAAGATGTAGCTTTAAAATACATTAAATATAAATTTGAATTTAAAAAGCTTTAAAAAACGTGTAGTTCCTTACTTTAAAATTAAAAGATGTTTATTTAATTCGCAGTTGGCGCATAATAGAGAATGGGGTTTCCACAATGCAAGAGTAAATTCTGTTGCATGGTCTCCGAATTCTGACATGGTTGCAAGCGGTAGTCTCGACACGACTATTATTATCTGGAGCGTAACAAATCCTGCGAAACATACTATCATCAAAAGTAAGTAAATTTAGAAAGTACAGTAAATTTTTTCAGCAGATTGTAATTAATAAAGCAAAAAAATTCTTGTTTAGATGCACATCCTCAGAGCCAAATAACACGCTTAGTCTGGCTGGACGAAGAAACATTAATCTCTGTTGGACAGGACTGCAATACTAAAATATGGCGTATAGAAAAGATATAATTATCTTTTGGAAAAATTTATTGTCACTTTTAAAAGAAAAACTCAATTTTGGAAGTATTTTATTTATTACGTAGCCTATGAATATTGTATATTATTTTTTAATACAATCCTTAATATATGATTAAAAAGATTATATTGCAATCTCCTTTTATTGATTCATTAAAATTACAAATTAATTTACATTCCATATAACTATTTCTAGCCTCCTGCTGCTTTATCTTTCAACATTTCTAGATATATATTTGCACTAAAAGTCACGCAATTTATCTAATTTGTCTTTATTAAAACAGTGTAACAATAACAAGAAAGCGATAACAATTCGAACACTAAAGGTCTTCAGGAACATGATCACACTTTGTTGTTTGTACACTTGAAGATGTTATGGCTTTTCTTATTATTAATCAGTCCAGTGCTGTTCTTACGAATATAAGGTACCATGAATTCTGTCACTAAATTATTCGCTAGTGCAATATATTTAGAACACATTTTTTTAAAACTGATAATTTTTTAAATATATTTAATAAAATATTTGTTTAAATATTCTTACCTCTCTTTCAAACTTTCTTTTTGTGATTGCACCAAAAATTTTGATAGGTATTCTAGCAAAGGTTAAAATGTCTATATATACATATGTATATAATAATAGTAATGACTTCACCATCACAGTAGTGGTGGTTTCGACGTATACCTTGGACGTTTCTGCGAAGAAGCCACCGGATGTCTATATGACACGTGTTTTCTTAACGCATCTCGCGATCGCGATACGTGCGAGCACGATGTGCAGCTGTATGAACTATTGCTATGTGTCTCCAAGTGTACGCGCAAGTTGTATTGATTGCTCAACTGTTTACCACAAATAAAACAAGTAACACTAGATTTGTTATAGGCCTGAGAAGTTTTGCCAGATGCGGATGTTGCAAGCAATTTGAAATTTGTGTCCCACACGGCCGATGGCGGTTTTACATCTTCTAAGGGTGCAATCTGATCCTCTGTGATTGATGCGGTCTCGTCCGTTATGCCTTCCGAGTATCCTTTATCGAGATATTTATTAACAGATACATTAATAGGACCAGACGTTTTCTCTCTTTGGTTTAATTTTGCGTTTATAGAGTAATAAGGTTTTGTCTTCACGCAATACGATATACTTTCTTGATCGTTGCTAGGTTCTTCATCGTCTAAATTATCTATTACCTCGTGTAGAGATGCAGATACCGATTCGGATTCAGTAATCATTGTATTATCTTTCGATTCCGTCGTTATCATTTCATTGTTCGACAGTTTTTCCTGAGGTATTATTGGTGGCTGTGCATACAAACCATTATCGTGTTTCGAATTTTTCTGAAATAAAAAAATATGTCAAATTAAATCAAATAAATAATTATATTTTTTTGTTGAAAACAAACATTTTAAAAGCAAAAAGTAAAATTTTAAAATATATTACACATTAAATATTACGGCGTCATATTTCATATTATAAATATTTAAGTGAATATTTGATATTTTCAATAATTAAAAGATTTAAGTGTTAAGATTTATACAAGAATATAAATCGTTTTTATCTTTCGATATTCATGGTATAAATATAAAATCTGATCTAATTCTAAGTAAAATATATGTGGATATTAATGACATACAACAAGCAAAAATGTATTCTTTTAAAAGTATTCTTCAATCAAATAAATTGTCTAAAAATATTCTGTATTACAGCAATGAATTATACATTGCACATTAATTATTCATTTTTGCGCAATTTTGTTCATTATTCTTAATTTAAATTGTTGTTTAAGAAATATTACTTAAAGATATTTAGCATGATAATTTTTAAAATACATTGTTCTTTTAATTTATATATATTCATTGTTTCAGATACATTTATAAAACAATAAAATTTTCCTAACATATCTGCTCTTCTGTAAAAAAGATATATAATCAGTTATACTAAACTCTAACAGTTTAGCACCTAAAAGTACAGAATCGATTTATATTATAGAAATTTATTTACAAGAATTACTTTGTCTGAAGATCTCTGGATTTGAAAAATTAACGTTTGTTATCATCACACTTGACTAAAATGTTAAGTATTATTGTTCTGCGAAAAACAAAATATATTGTATAAAAACGCCGTTCTATGAACTTTGCTAAACAGTTTTTTTTAGTAATTTAAAGATCCATGGAAGAAGCTATATTTTAGATATACCTGTAAAGTCATTCTATGGGGTAAGGTTCCATGGGATGCATCCACTTGCATTTAGTTGCAACACACACAACGATCTTGATCTCGTGGATATCGTTTTTATTCATTATCGTTCCTTCTCGATGCATGTACGAACATAATATGTGTAGCTGTATAATATCCTTCGTGAGGTACTTCTTGAGGAACGACAGTGAATGTATTTAAGTGACCTGAACAAAACAACACGATCATAGGATAATATAAAAGGATTAAGAAAGGAACAAAAGCAAACGCGTTTATCTCGTTCTTTGTTCTGCTGAATGAGTATGAAATTAATTTAAAAAATTAATCTCGGATCTTTCTAAAAAATAATTGCAACAATATAGTGGCAATTCTGTAATTTGTAAAGTATCAAGAGCATGCATGTTATAAGGATATGCATTTACAATTATATGTAAGTTATGATATATCGAGATTGATTAATGAAACAGATAAGATATATTCTATAAAGATATAATGCTTACAACATTTATTGTTATCAAATAAATATCATATCATGGATATCATAATCTATAAATGTTAAAGTTTAAATATTAAAAATAAATTTTAAATAATATATATATTGGCCCATTTCTCATAAAAGTAGTACAATTGAATAAATAATTAATATATTATATTAATAATTAAAATAAAAAGAAATGTACATTGTAGACTAAAATAATATAACTTATTAATAAAAAGAGTATTATATAAGATTTGTGTTGTTACATATTATATACCAATTATGTGTGTTGTTGAATACATCTATAATTATTTTGTACAAATTTGTATATATGTATATTTCTGAACAAAAGATAAAATGTTTAGTACATATATTTATGATAGACTAATAGAATTGTTAGGGGGAATCATATTTTTATATTATAACGTCGCTTATAAAAATACATGCGTTATAAGCAATCTGAAACTTTTATTTAAGAGAGAACAAGCATAAAAATCAAGTATTATTCATGCTAATTACCTTAAGTACTAAATAACACGCCATTAATATCACAATTTTTATTTCTGAGTATATTATAATGTGATAATTATGCCAATATTTATCAATATATTATATACTTTTTTTGCATATAATTAACAAACTTTCAAATATTTAATCTAAATTTGAAACACATTGTCAATGATAATAATAACAAATTGCTTCATATTTCTATGATTAATATGTGTTTTTCAAATATAAGGTTATTATGTTATATATTTTGCAAATAAATACTAAAAATCAAAATTAGTATGTAATTTACATTTATATAGTTATATAGTTATTAATAATAAATACATATATCAATATTTTTTTACATGAACTTTCATAAACTATTATGTATGACGCCAGAAGTTGATAAAAAAAATTACAAGTAGAAAAAATTATAGAAATATAAGAAATAAAAATTATAGAAATATATACAATATATTCAGAAAGTATAAGTATAGAGAGATGAATTGCATTCTTTTTTATGCAATATATATTTCTTAATATTTAAAAAATATAATGGTTCTCTCATACTGTTTTATATATTAAGTAATCAAGAACACTTACCCCAGCCATATCAGCTAATCCACAAATATGTAATGTATCAGCCATAGCTAAAAGTGCAGGTAATTGTTCTTGGTAAATATTCACTTCACCATTATACATAAATTTGACTAAAGCGCATAAATTTGCATATTCCATGCCTGGCAACACAATAACAGGATGTTGCAAAGAGCTTAAGTCCTAAAAATTTATTCATAAAATTCCATATATATCATCATACTAGTATAGGTGTAAATCAAATGATAATCAATATGATTTCAGTAATATACCAATACTATGACTCTAGTAAACTTAAAAGATGATTATAGAAGTGATTATATTTATCTTATTCAAATAATCAAATTAACAAAACTAAATTTTTGTCATATTAAATCTTGCAATATATAAAAATAGACAAGAAGACCAATGCAAAAGATGTAATATTATGTTGTATTAAGAATAAATTTATTGCAAATATAAAAAAAGATGTATATTATATGTCTATTATATAATATTACTAATAAATTAATATATTACATGCATTCACACAAAAATTAGATAAGATACGTCTCAAATAAATACCTTAAACAGTTCTTTAAAATAATAACTACAAGCTGAGAGTATAATTCTATGAGCATGAATGTGTCTACCACCAGCGCTCAGTGTGACATCTGTTAGATGGCCACCATCGAGCAGTTTTGGAAGAGAGCTCAATAATGTATTTTGGAAATTGTGCCATCGTAAACAAAACTGTTGACTCTCCATATCTGTTCTTGCTGTAGAAAGAAAACACAGCATTGAAATCTCACATTTCATTGTCAGAAAGAGACATAGTTTAAGTCTTAAAAAACCTATACAGAACAAAAAGAATTAATTTCTATCATGTAAAAAATTGAACTTGCATATTAACAAAAATACAAAAATTAAATGTCAGATTATTCTTGAAGAAATATAAAAATGGTTCTATTATAGTTAGATATATAATGTTAGTGATATTTTTTTGCTCAATCAGTTATTGCATTTGCTTACACAAACTTAACAATAAAATGTATTTTATGTATATTGTTACACATAAAAAAATGTAAAAAATGTTACACACAAGGTTTCAAAAAATTATATGATGTAAATGAGATTATACAGTGAAGAAATATTCGTGCAGTTAGAGCGAAAAGAAATTCGCCAAAACGCGATATAGAGGATAACAGCAGAAGCAATGGTGAAGCCAGTTTAAGAGAGAGATATACAGAGAGACACAATATACTATTTATTTAATCAGGCTGCAGGTTCCAGCCAAATCTATTATTGTACTGAGGTATGGCTGGAGGAAAAGAACAGCCATTGTGTGATTTACTCACGAGACAGCTTGTGACAATTCAAGCGGAATTCGAGACGCGTAAAATTGCGACGATGGAAATCGACGAGGGGATGAAAATTTAATGTATTGTTTCCTACCTCGTTAAAATCGCTGTCCACTGTAAACGCGATTATTCTTTGTATATACACTGCACCCTTTCGTTTGGCGATCGCCACAATCACGAGTGACACGAATCACATAATTATAGATAGCGGATAGAATCCGCTAAGTTGCATGAACGATAATCGCTACTGTCAACCTATCGATATTATATCGAAACGATTAATATCGATATAACTCAATTTTCAAACAATAGCTTCGGAGTCTCGCTTCGAGACGCAAATTCCTAATTAAACTTTTTAAATTTGTGTTGTACATATTATATATCATAAATTTTACGAATATCATCTAAGTGTTACTTGAAATTAAATAGTGCATTATTGGTTTTATAATTATTATATCTATTTCTAAGAATCTATATTTCTATATATCTATTTTTAAGAAAGATATGTATAAAGTCGATAATCGCATCTCTCGAAGTTTATTGTTGTCACTTTTCTGCGATGCTAATTGGCTGTCTCGATTCGCGTTATATTCATAGTATTGAGTATTCATAGTATGACAGTTGTTCAAAATAATATTAAATCAAAGTACATAAAATCAATTAATAGCGCGCGCTTGTGTTATCTAGTACACGGTAAAACTTGAAAAAAAATATGCACATACACTTATTATGTCACTCGATATCGCATGTTTATTAGTTAAATTCGGATGTAATTAATAGTATATGTGTAATTGTAATCAATTATATTTCCGTACGTAAGTATACACACATATAATACTGTAATTAATTATGATTTCACTAAGAACTGCGAAGGAATAACAGGAATAATAAAAATATAATGGTCAATTATGCAGTTGGCGGATCTCTCTATCATAGAAAACTACTTGTCTTTATCATTATTAATATTATTATCGACTTTATTATTTTGTATATAGCTATACAGAAAGTCATGCTTATAACTGTAAAATCGCTTAACACGCTCAAGCTCAAGCTCGATTACATCGGACTTTCTTCGAAAGATAATGCGATTTTTTAAACGTGTCATACTCATCGATTGCGTTTTTACAAAACCATCGAAACCATCGTCATTCCTATACTACGCCGCAAGTTTCAAACGATTTCTCAATTATATCACAGAAATACTGACTTTAAATTCGAGTGATAATTTAAAGACATACAATTATAAAACAGTGTTCTTAATGGGTGATCGAAAATTTTGTAAAAATCACGTACAAACCTGTGTGTATATACTAATTATATAGAAACAATCGACGGTTTTAAAAGAAAATTACTACGATAATAATCTATCAAAAACAAAAACTAAATTGACGATATTTATACTCGTCTGATCGTATATGTATATACGATATCTTCTCGCATCTGTTTTACAATTTTATATACAATTATTTTTTTGTTTATTTTTAACGCTTAAGATTAATGTAAGAATTAATTATCGTATGATCATAAAATATTTATATAATTATACGTTTGTATTGCCTATCTAGAAAGCGTATAATAAAATCTACAGCATTTATAATTAATAATAATAAACAATTTTGTATATCGATAACTATATATTGATATAACACAATTAATATGTCAAAAGAATATTTTCTTTGTTAAATATTTAAAAAATGCAACAAATAAATATAATATTAATAACTAATATGCATGTATTAATATTTGCGAATAAAAATAACATACTATTATCACACACAAATCATATACAGGATGTCCGATAATGACTGTATAACACGATGTTCGTATATACAGAGTGTCCCATCAAAAGTGGTCACCCCCTTTTATCTTTGAAACTAAAGAGATATACCATAAAAGAGATAGACCATAAAAATAATTATATATGAAATTATATGGCTCAAACTGAACTGTTTTGTGGTTGCTTACAAAAACTATGTTTGAGCCATTTAATTTCATATATAATTTTTATGGTCTATCTCTTAGTTTCAAAGATAAAAGGAGGTGGCCACTTTTGATGGGACACCCTGTATATGTAGCTATTATATATCATATATTTATAATTATATAATAACGCTGCTCTCAACGCTTCATCATGCGGTATTATCGGACATTATCATACATATATATTAACATATTTTTTATGAATTTTATTTAAAGTATTCTATTTAAATATTTACTTCAGAAAGTAGATATTCGATAAAATGCAATAATGCCGTAGATTAAAGAAATTGCGATATTTTTCAATATCTCGTCGTTAATTATATTAGGCACAGATATTTCTATATTATTAATTGTTCACTCTAAAACGCGTTTTTATAACGTTTAAATTTTCCATTAATTATTAATTGAAAACTTGGTTTTCTTTCAGCCGTTTTTCATTTATTTAAATCTCAATATTATAATTGTAATATAAGGATTTGCAACTTTGCACTGTAATTGAAATAAGATTCACCCAGCTAACCATTTCTGCGGAGGCAAATGTAAGCAACAACTTTTGTTTTGTAAAATGGCCGCAGATAAGAAACATATTTTGTCATTACAAACACTGTGAGCATAAATTCAGTGAATATTTCCCAACATCTGTTAGCAGACCATATTGACAAAGTGGCAATGAGTAGCAAGCAGATCTGTCGAAAGTGTTGACAACAGATTGATGCCAAAAATGCAGCAGATCCTTCAGATTTAGGATTTTTCTTCGATTTGCTAAGCATTTGGCGCAAATCTGTCCTCAATTTACGATTGACAAATCTGTTCCCAGTCTGTTGCCAATCTGTCGTCGCACTGTTAGTAACAGATCTGCTCTGGCGTTGCACCCAACTTGATGTTAGGATATACTTTCAACTTTTGATTGCAATTGAAGCGCACTCGAGGACACAGTAGGCCCTGGATTTGCAGCCATATTTGGTCGTATTTATTGTTTCCCGTTTGTTAACAATTTCCAAGCAAATGGTTAGCTGGGTATTTACCATCTAAAAAAATTAAAGAAATTGAGGAAATTATTTTCTTCAACATTAAATATAATGCTACATTTTTTAGTGCAAAGTTATAACCCTGTCAATGCAATCTTAGATTCGAAATTAGCTCTATTTAATATTGATACCGAAAATTCTTTACACAAATCTCTTTGTTTCGTGTCACAGAATCGAAGTTATAAAAAGTCTAAAATATAGAAGAGATATATAAGTAAAAGAGAGAGTGTGACGAAACACATATATGTCGCATTCGCAAGATGTGCGCAATTCAATTTCAAGATTTGTAAATCCTGTTTCATGCCTAGAACTAATAATATATAAAATCCATGTATTCTCGCGATATGTCTATCTACATATAACGTGTATATGTACGTTCGCTTATTCTGTAATATCCGATATTTAGACCAGCGCTTCTCTTCACTATTCATAATCTCGAAGATTGTCCATAAATTTTCGTAAACTTGTACTTGCTGCTTTGCATCAGGTATCTGGATCGTTACATGTATAGTACACGCGCTCGTATATCGAATATTTGGAAATCTTTCAACAATATTCATTTGTAGATATTGCTTAACGATATCAAAGATCGAAATCATTTAATATATAGCGGTTTTTTATATATACCGCTTCTAGGCAAAGTTATAACAATATTTGTTACTTATTAGCATACAAAATGTATTCTTTAAGCATTTTTATATCTCCAATAATTTAATAATTTCAAAACACCTCGAATTTAAATTTACTTTACATTTCGCAAATTCAATATCTCCAGAATAAAATTTAGGAATTATAATTTTTTTTAGTTCTCAAATATCCTGCGGCGGTAATTATATGAAATCACCACAAAGTCTTTTATATTTTATGTAATTGGTCCGCGGTGCCGATCAAACGTTCGAATTCTTTTCGATTCTTGTAAGAAGAGCAAATATTATTGCGTTAAAACCGCCAAATATCTAATTTTCCACAGAATAAAATTACTTATCGTGTATAATAAATTGCCGACACGTGCGCGCGTATAATATTCTTTTGTTTTCTTTCATAAGTGCGATTACTATTGTGGTCCTTCGCCATGGAGTAAAGTGAGTATAGCATTTCTAAGAGCGAAGTTCGAAGTAAAGGAAGTGTCGTGCAACGATTCATTCGTCATTGGACTGGTGTATTTTCCGCACAAGAACCATTCGTTTATAGCTGCTCTTTCATAAGTAAATCCATCTAAAAATTTAATGGTCAATTAGATTTATTATAAAATAAATAAGAATGTATGTAACATGTAAATATTCTAAAATACTTTTCTAATAAAGACGTGACTTGTATATAATATTTTTACCTGAACACTGTACAGGTTCTTTCATTATCTCATGCGTTATAGGACATAGGAATTCATGAGGAATCTCAGACTCGTCTATATTCTCTGTAATATTGCAATCTTCACGCTTCAGCCAATATAATTGCTTCTTCAGTGTCTCGATCGCCTTCGAATATAATTTAAATATAATTAGTTCATAATAAAATTAGTTAAAGATTATTATAAAATATTGTATGTACCTCTTCGTCGTCTTCGATTTGCAATCGGGATATCAGTTCGTTCTCCGATATGGACAATAAATGTCGTCCAGTTATTCCCAGAGAAAGCACTCTCCTAGAAAGTCTGGATAATTCAATATCATTTAACCATTTCAAAGTATCGTGTATCTTCCAATCTGCAACCTGAATGACCAGATATTATTTTATTAAATGTCATTGAATATTATGTGCGTATTTCTTATATTTTAAAACATTACTGACCCTCTTCTTCTTGTTCCTCAAACTGTCTATTAAATTACTTTGCGACACTAATTGCTGAGGCACCTTCCAAACTAAAACAGTTTTATCCAGCGCACCTAAGAAAAATATTTCTTATTACAATAAAATAATTTTATACAATTTTGATTATATGAGTCTTCTATATAAAAAATATGCATTCAAAAAAATTTATTTAAGTTGAAAATTGAGCAAAACCGAATAAATTCATAACTTAATCATTGATATACAATATGTAAAATATAATCTTAAGACCTGTGGCAAAGAGTGACGAATCCTCAGAAAATGCACAACATGTAACAAGACTGTCGTGAACCTCTAGGACGTATAAACAACTTCCGGAAAACTGAAAACATTAATTCTCGTGAATATCTCTCTCACGTTTCTTTTTTTTTTTTAATTAAAATTTATTAAATTATCTTGATTACTCACCACACTCCATATGCGAGCTGTTCTGTCCGTTGCGACGCTACCTAGAATTTCTCCCGCGATAGGCGAAAAACGAACACACATTACATTTCCACCATGTCCGGTTAAGGATTTCTTTTCCTTGTAACGCGTTTCGATATTGCTTGTGCCGATACTGTCCGAATCGGATAATGACTCGGTTGAGATAATTATGTGCCATAATTTAACCAACGAATCGTTACCACACGTTGCCAACAAATATATTTGCTGATTGACATTCATTTCTGTCTCTCTTGCTGCAAACAATTGATATTTGAATTTTTGCGTTAAATAATCGCTATTAAATAATGGCAACAAAATTATATTAATAAATTGATATATTATATATTAATCGGCATGCACTATAATTTTAATAGAATTGAAGCATAGTTTAGTAGGATAATAATTTTTAATATTTTTTTTCCGTACGCACTGTATATGGCGGAACCTGGAGTAGGGCTGAAATCGCATCCTTGGACACCTAGATCGTGACTTGCGTCGCAAACCATCAATGATTCGGAACCGTTCTTTTCATCCAAAGTATCGAAAAGACGCCAAGTACCCTCGTTGCATGCAGTGACCAAATAACGTGAATCATGTGTAAACGCGATGGCCGTTATCGCGTCGGCGTGACCCTCAAAAACACTATAATATTCCCTAACCATTATTGTTAATTATCTACATCTACAAATAACAATTTAATTTATCCCAAATCGTTATAAAAGATGCATCGAATTTTTTTTAAACAAACAATTATCGTAAGATTCCATTTGAACTTATTTTTGTTTAAAAAATCTTTGGCAATAAATATTATAATATAATATTATTTTATTATTATATATATTTATTTTATAATATTATTTTCGAAGATATTTCACATTTATCAAAATTTATTTTTTACGAATTAGTAATGTATTTATTTGTATTATTTTCTATTATTAACTATACATACTGTAATTGATCCATAGTCTCCACATCCCATAACATTGTTTTCTCGTCATCACCAGCAGTGGCAATTTTTGTACCATCTGGTGACCATCGACATACACGGATACCTGTGCCGGAATTGACAAACGAGGCTTTTGCTTGACTTCCGTTCTGTTAAGAAAAATTATCATAAATAAAGAGCTAGGCCACAATATTATATTATTCGCCATAAAATAATAATTATTTACTTCTGTATTCCAAACTACAGTCGTCCCATCGAGAGAACAAGAGGCGAGCATGGAACCACATGGACTAAATTCCACATAATTGACGCTGTAAGTGTGAGCGTCGAGTGGACTGAAAGGCTTTTCTTGTATTTTAATTATTTCTTCTCCGTCTTCCTCTTCAATTTCCACGCTCCATATACGCACCAGTTTATCGCTAAAAATAAAAAAAAAGATTATGTCATTGTCTTGTTACAATTTTACAATTAATTTCAAAGATTTACCCGGATGCTGAGGCTAGAAGATTATTTCCATAAAAGGCAACGCTGTTCACTGCTCCATTATGCTCCTCCAGTTTTTGAATCAGTCGTACTTCGTTAGCATATGTCTCAACGTTTTTCATCATATCCTGTTCATACATAGCATTCTAAAATATAGAATTTTATTAACGTTGCGTTATTTGTAAATTATTTATTATTTACGATCAACTCACTTTTTCAGGATCATTCACGAACCACTTCGTTCCAACGTTTCTTGAGAGTTCTGAATCAACAGTTAAATTCCCTGTCAAGTCCCAAACAATTACCGACTTATCATTAGAACCTGCAATTATATTAAGGATTAATTGCTTTGAACGGAATTATATATATATATTTTCTGGAAAATATAAAATAAATATATATATATATATATATATATATATATATATATATTTTATATTTTCCAGAAAGATTTATTCCACTTTTCCAGAAAGATTTATATATATATATATATATATATATATATATATATATATATATATCTTTCTGGAAAAGTGAAAAAAATTATTATACCTGTCGCTAATAAGCTTCCGTCACGTGAAAAAGCGCAGCAAGCGATGTACCTGTTATGACCGGAGAGTATCGTCACTACTTTTCCTGAGCTCTATAAAAAAATTAATTATTAAAAAACTGTCAAATTTTCACAATTGATTTCTCTATTAAAGACAAGTATCTTACTATTTCCCAAATTACTGCCGTTTTATCGAGGCTACAGCTAGCAATATACAATCCGTTGCTACTGAAACGGACACAAGTTAAGGCACTGCTGTGCTTTTCCATCACTCTGCAAAGCTGTACAATGGCTGTAGAGGGTTGGGCCTCGTATTTATTCTGACTTACTGTGATTTCCCATAATTTCACGTCGTGATCGTTGCCGCACGAGACCAGCTGATAAAGTTTAGTGTACGGCTCGTTACCTGTGCGATAACATAATTACATTACTTTATCAAATTTTATGTAATTATTTTTTTTTAGATTTGTTCAAATAATATCTGTAGTATGCTTGCATACATGTGACTTCTTGAAAAGTGGAGAAGTCGCAACAAACCACTCCCATGTCGTGAGCATCGTCGATTGAGGCGAGTTCGGCGACATCCTCATTGCTAGACGTACAAGTGTCAATCAGCTCGGCAGTGGAAAATAGCTTTAGGACGCCCAATGTGCACGAGGTGATCAACCAGCTGGAATCTGGTGAAAAAGATACGCTCTGTACGGCGCCCTCGTGCTTTTGAAAGCATCTGTAAATCGATAATATATATATATATATATATATATATCATAATTGGAATGCAAATTTTAATTTTATAACAATTATTTTAAAAAATATGATTTTACGAAAAAAATGATTATAAAAAAATCTTGCCTGATTAAATTGCGATGAATCAGATCCCAAATACAGACTTGCCCATTATCACCGGCGGTCGCAAGTAATGTCGAATCCGGTGAAAATCTGCAAACTCTCACCGCTTCACCACCCATCTGCACCATAGTGTGTATCTTTGCTCCCGTCTTTGAGACCAAAATAGATTTATATCAATAGAAGAAATAATAATTGCGAAAATATAATTTACAATTTTTAACAGACTTTTTATGTCGACCTTACATTTCTTTTAATATTTTATTATTGCAATAAGAAGATTGCACTAAAATAACATATGCGCTATAGCGGCAACTTCTATACGTATGTATAAAAAAATTATTCGACTGTATATAACTTTAAAATTATATAAAAAGCTTAATGACTACTATTATATAATTACTATTATAGTACGTTATTTATATTACATTTATATTACGTTTTTAAACCTACACGTAAGTTCCAAAGCAGTGTGGTACCATCTATGCTGGAAGTGGCTAACATAGTGGATTGAGGGCTGACTTTGACCGAGGTCACGCCGTATTTGTGCCCCATCAAGGGTGAGAAGTAAGCTTCCACATAGCCAGTACCAGGTTGCCATTCCCAAACTCGAACGCGTTTGTCTCTGTTATTGAAAAAGGTGAATATGAATCACAAGCATCTTGCATTAATAATTAATATGATATAGGTGCATCGATAATTAATATATTTACCCGGATCCCGTTATTAACACGCAATCACCAGCGAAGTCGACGCTATTTACATCGCTGGTGTAAACTGTGAGAGTCTGCAAGGCTTGCACGTCGCCTATGGCAGTCATGTTTTTTCAGATTAACGGGTTACTTAGCTGTAAAGATGTATACAATATTAATTAGCTGTGTGCGTCACTTGTCAAAGTCAAATCGATGTCATCCGCTTAATGAAAGTGCGCTTACTACATGATTGACGATGATCATTAATCTTTTAACGGAAAGAGATACCTACGTAGTTTAAATCACATTTCGTCTTTCTGTCTCTAAAGACTGATAAATGTTGAATTCATGTTAGAACAATTTATCGATTAAAAAATAAGGTCATATTCGAGAGACAAACTTTTCAAGATATGGAATAGCGGAATGTGATTGACAATCGCATTAAGTTGTCACAGTTTGATATTTTTACTATATATGCATCATAGATATTTCTTTAAAATCAATATATTTGCGTTAAATATATGTATATATGTATATTCTATCAGATTATATATGTGTATATATATATGTTCTATCTATAGATGTTACATAGCAATGTCGAAAGGGTAATGAAACATGAAGAGAAAAGCACCTTTAACCTTCGCTTTTCAATGCTCGCAAACGTGTATATACACGTATGTATATGTACATACTACATACACGTTTCTCAATAATACATACATTACAAATCGACTAACTGTTCTACAGGTGGGTATACGTAAGACATTGAATGTGAAGCTTCTGAAAGTCAGAGAGCCTTGGCATTGACCGTATCGTGAGTCTTAAAAATCATTTTATCGTCATCGATTTGCAAAGTATATATAGCATTAAAATAGATATTTCATATGATTTAAAAATCCATTGTCATTTCATTGTGAGATTAGAATTATTTCATTTTTAAGATAAAAACGAAAGAATCCTAGATGTAAATTTATATCGCGTTAATAATTTCGCTATAATTATCACTGTACAAATGATGTCGTGTTTTTTAAATACATACGATATGTTTTGAATAAAATAAAAAGTTTTTGCAATATAAAGGCAAGTGTTGGACTTACTTAGATAGTAACACATAATAGTAAAACATGAGTTTAACGCTGACGTGTTCTGCTACGTAAAACTTATTGATTGTATTTATCTGTTCTATCTCTCTATATATAATGTGCACAACAAATATCACATATTATTATATATATAGTAACGATCGATATAGCGAATAAAACAAAAAACTCGCTGATCGCCATATACAATTAATGATAAGATAAGCTACAAAGAAAGTACTTCAGATAAAATTGTAATGTCATGTGATAAATAAAAATATATTACTTGTGTATACATATAGTACCGATAATGTGTGATATTATCAATTTTGCACTGAAAAATATAATGCGATTATCGATGCATTACATTTATTTTTAAAAAACTAATAAATTATTACACATAATTATATATCATCCTATTACGCGTTATTACGCAATTTTGTGATATTATAATATTAAATGATACAAATACAGTATAAAGTAATGATATCTCGATTTACGTATTTCAATTTCAAAATATATAAAATTATATTAGCCATAAAATTTTATACGTAATAAAAATATGAATAGTGAAAAGTATGAAATAAGTGTTAGAAATCTACAGATATACATCATATTAAGTGTTAATAAATATTTGTTTAATTATAGAATTGATGTTTTATTTTTTGTGTTAGAAAACAGCGTGCATCGAAGAGTTGAATGACTCTAAAATTAATATGTGCCTAGTATTATAATTACTCTTCTAATATAAAAATAGCTATTTAACAATTGAGTCGTAACAATTTGCGTAGGAGATGTTGCGGTTTTTGATTTATATCTAATCAATAAATCTCTCATTAAATTATTAACCAACAGGACTTTAATCACGCGCAAAATAAATCGGTGCTCTCAAATATTATATATGTTTCTATTAAGTCATATACATTCGTAAAAAAAAAATTACATCAAACTATTTTTTTTCGTCTCTATATTAATACGATTTGCGTAGAATATTATAGGTTTATATAATTTTCTTGTTATGTTATTTTAAAATTATTATTCTTCTCGTACACTCACTCTCGTAACGAAGGCACATGTTCCAGATACTAGACGCTCTCTCGTCTCGGTGCTTCGTTGTTCCATCAACAAACACGAACGGGATGCATGATTTTCATGATTTTGGGCTACGCGTGGCGAAGCGATGTCACATATTATTTATCACGATCAACATAGTGTTCCTGCCGACGAGACACTTCGAACAGGATACCCCGGACAGGGCACCTGTCACAATGAAGTTAAACGCGCTAAACGCATGTCCACTGGCGTCCAGATCAATATTACGGAGGCGTAACGTGAGATATAAACTGTGTGCGGTGTTTACTGCAAAATACATACAATATTAATGTATATAGCTGTTTTTCTTTTCGTTGCGCGAGTGAATATTTTTATTTAATTATATATACCTGTACTTAATTGTATAATTTGTCTCACAAATATATAATATTTTTATTATCTCACAGTGTAAGATGTGCTAACTAACAGTTTGCTGTATTTTCGCAATATATACATATATATGCATATGTATGCAAATGTATATCTGTGTGTGTACATTTATTTTAAGACAATAGCGAAAATATTCAAATATTTATTACAATAATTGTATATAACATGCATGAGAACGCGTACAATTGGTATATATATTTAAGTTTTATTTTTTAATTATATTTTCTAATATATGAAATCCATTAAATAACAAATGTTAATTAAATTTTACAATAGTATATTGCAAAAATATAGCAAACTGTACATGCTTATAACACATTTTACTAGTATATATACACTTTTTCTGGTAAGATAATAAAAAAAAATTGAAAAATATAAATTTACAATATAAATTTTACTATAAATAATCTATTTTTTTACATATATTATTAATATGAATAAAATGCATTTCATAGTAATGGAAAATTATTATAAATTTTATTTATTGATTCTGTGTTTTATTCATATTGATTTATATTGTTTTAAATTTGCTATCTCAATGTCAAAATTCGTCGAATTTATATATTACTGTTATATTTTGCGAAAAGAATATTTTCAAATTAATTTACTGATAATACAATTCATGTGCAATAATATATGTCCCATAAAAAATCATCAAACTGAAGAGAAAATATATATTTTGGCAAAAAATAAAAGCTAAAAATAAAAGAGGAAAACTGAAGTAATTTATGGGTATAAATTCGCAACTAAATTCGATATTATTAAGATTACATGAATTAAAGAAGATTACACAATTTTCTTTTACTTCTTTCGAATCGTATTCTAATATCATAAATTTAATTGCGAGTTTCGAATTCCGCGGTATATCTCAATAATGACAGCTACTTACAATCAGCTGATTGTTCTGTCAAACGCATAACGCATGCGCAAACTGCCCGGTAGTAAAAGCACATGAATGTGTAAACAGAAAATGACAATCAAGATCGGAGGATAATTCGCAGAAGGAACGCTGCCGTTGTTTATGGATTGTTAATCCGATAGTAGATTGAACAATCTTGTATCCGATGCCGCTTGGTAGCAAGCCAGAATGCACAAAATGCGGGACTCGCGAGACTCCATTGTGGCATTCGACCGATGCTGGAAACTTGTGCAACGCTTGCTTGGAGGACGAACGGAATTCCGAAGCGAATTCATCCTCTAAAGCAGACGAGGAGGATAAAAGTGGCTCGCTTAAACCTAGAAGAAGCACGAGAATCACTAGATATTGCAATACAAAAGCGACAGGGCCGCATAAAATTATACCTAAGGGCAAGGGTCGCAGGAACTTGTTTAAGAAAACGGTGTGTGAAAATTCTTGCACATATATTACATCTTCAATTTATTAAGACCTAATATGTTTAGTAACGAGTGTATAAAAGAGATTGTTTTTTCTGTTATTGAATAAAGATTTAAAGAAATGTCTCAGAACTGATATTTATAGTTTGTTATAGAAATTGTGAATTATATAATTATCGAATATGAATGTATTATAATTTATGAATGTTTATGTTTACAGCCAATCAAGGCCCCCACTGCTACTGCAACTCCAGTCACTAGCAACTTTGTATTTTATAAAGGTACATATTTTCAAGTTGGAGATATAGTTTCTATGCAAGATGTAGATGGTGGTATTTATTATGCTCAAATTCGTGGTTTATTGACGGATCAGTATTGTGAAAAGAGTGCTGCTGTTACCTGGTTATTACCCACTACAGCAAGGTATATTTTATTCTATTAATTTTATACTTAACTTATTTGTATATTGTGAATATATATTTAGTAATAATAATTTATTAATTAATTTAATAATATACCATATTTTAGTCCACCACCAGAAGAAGGTTTTACTCCCGAAACGTATATAATTGGACCAGAGGAAGATTTACCACGCAAATTAGGGTGTATGGAATTTGTTATGCATGCTCCATCGGATTATTTTAAGTTAAAGAATACACCTTATCCACCTGCACTTACAGAAAAAGGAATCGGTTACATATGGACAACTCTTAGAAACGAATTAGCTATATCTAAAAAGTAATAATTGTTTTAGAATATAATAATAGATTTAACTGCATAAAAAATATCATTTATACTATATGCAAACTATTTTCAACTATTTTCAATGATTTTTAGAATGTTATTTAGAATATTTTTTAGTCAAAAAAGCTATTCTAGCAGAGTGAGTGTGTAAATAACGTTGCAAAGTTTCTATTAGTACAACAGAAATATACATAGAAAATAATACACATTGCTAGTTTGTTTATTAAATATATTTTCTTACAATATAACACATTAATGTTTTTCATATTTCTGGTGAATAACTGTGGACGTGCTTCTTTCTAATGGAACGCGGGGCTAGATTACTTTGGGCAATCAAAGTTACCCAATTCATAGTCAAATTCATAGACTTGATATTGTTTTAATATACTTTCTAACATACATATATAAAAATCTAAAGAACATTCTTATTTAATTTTCTTTTAATGTAAAAACTTTCGAGTCTTTAATTTATATTCTTTTCCAAAATACTTGCCAGCAAAACTTGTAATCCAAAATAGTAGCAATCAAATAATGATTCATCCGTGGCCCTTAACTCTGATATCGTTGAGATGGGATATATGCAGATGCAGCAGGCAACATTGGTGCATTCTCGTTTGCTTGAAGAGAGGAGAAAAGTGCCCTCGGTGCGGTGGTAGTGTCGGTTACGTTCGGGATGGCAGAAGAAACCAGTCAGCTAGGTGCCAACGAAGTGACGGCTGGTCAGAATTTGAGATCTTTTATAGCTTGTGGCAAGTCAGGCAGCTTCATATCCTTTATTTGTTGCGGTATATTCATGTTCTTCACCGCCGAGACAGCACGCGCGGGCGCTGCTGTGATTCCCGCCTGCACACATCATACAGGATGGAAGAAATGTGGAGAACGGACAATTTTAGGAGGATTCGATAAACGTGACTAGGCTGAAATTTTTAGCGGGGAGCGAAGGCAAATGACAGCAGATGACATGACAATGACGAATATTTATTATTTTTATGGAGCATTGCGATGTATACATTATTTTAAGGCACTTGGAATGATTAATTAAAAACAAATTGCATCGCCATGCGTATTACGTAAACGCTCACGCTGCACAAAAGCTATAAAAATCTTAACGCTTTCAACAACAGTTTTAATTACAGAAAAACAAAAACAAAAAAAATAAATAAATTAAATATATACTATATGCGAGAGCGAGATTGTACAAAGTGGTTTAATTTGCTACTGCTGATTTTTACTTAAGGAGGGGGCCCCAGGAGGACAAATGGACGGGGTGAGCAAGACCGTCCAGATTTGTAAGTTCCCTAAAATTCATGTTACATCAATCAATTCTATCTATCATTACGTTAAGTTTGCTCTACAGATTGTACTGCATATGCATGCATAGCTAGAGCGCTTCAATAAATTACATTAGCATATTAATAATTTGAAGCTCAATGAAAGAAAACAAACACATATTTGCAAAATCAGCCATACTAAAACGCATATTACTAACATTCTATATAATGAGAGACAAGTATAAGTTTGGGCATAAAAAATTATAGAAGTTTATACATCATGAGCATGGGTCAATGTTCCTGAATCTGTGATCTATTATTTTTACTATACCTTTATTGTATCGTGATATTAAGATATATATATATATATATATATATATATATATATATATATATATATATATCATGTATAAATTAAGGAGAAATTTTTAAGAGATCACAGTTGAGATATCAAAATTATAATAGCAAATTAGCAACTTACCTCTTGCTTTTCTAACTTGTTTTGATCTTCGATCCTTGTGAGAATTTCAGTCATATTGGTTTCAAGTACCATACCACCCATCACCAATTCGTTGAGTATGAAATGAACTTTGTCTACATGAAAAATAAGATCAAGTTCACACACATTTTCAAAACATTTGTCCAAAGTTTCGACAAAGACTTGTATCAAGTCTAAAATTCCAAGCTCCGATTCTGAACTATCAACACAGAACACGAAATAAAGCGTAGCATAGTGTCGATAGATCAACTTATAGTCGGATCCACCAATCAGGCTACCACCTTCCAAGAAATTACATACATTGTCGTCTCTCTTTGAAACAAGCTGAAATGTCTCTTTTATTATCTGCTGTTGCATATCCTCATTCTGAAGCAAAAAAATCTCATTGTAACAATGCATATGCAAGTGCATTTTTGATGCATTCTCATATTATAATTGTAATTTATTTGTGAATTATTTTAATATCTTGCATTAATATTTTAATTATAACATTACATGTTGCTTAATGTAATTTATTATTTTTAGAGCATAAAATCAGATATGAATTAAGTAATTTAATTTGTACAATATAGTATTCATTAAATGAAGAGAAAAATGTGAGAGTACGTCAACATAATATACTTACGAAGTACTGATAAAACTTGGAAAGACGAGGTTTCCCATGATTGTTAAAAACTAAGATTGCCTTAATCATGTCTGTACCCGGAATTATTCGACCTTACGGTAATCCTAACTAACCTCAACACATATGGTCTTGATAATTAATTACACGAGAGGTTAGATTCTACGACATGCTTTTAATAAATGAATCCTTATTATTTCCTTTAGATATGTCAGGCGGATAAGACTTTTATAATTCTCTCCTATAATATTCTCAATTCTGACGAGGTTAGTTCGTCAGCTGTTAATGATGTAGCTGTTTTCTTTTTTATGCAAGTATACTTTTTTTTTAAGAGAATGTTTTTTACTCGAGAAAGTTATTTAACACATAGAATATCACTGTTATCGAGTATAGCATGGAAAAATTTTATCTTTCTTTACCAACACGTATACAAACATATAGAAGTCTTTCCTTTTCACTCTCCTGCGCTTAAAATGAGATAGATATATGTCCAGGAGCGTAAATGTAAAATCGAAAATATGCAACTATATGCAATAATAAAATGACACAAATCTTATTTTTATAGGATTTTTGTACATAGTTAATTAGATGAATTATACAATATTATATAGCTAGTACGATGAGTAAAAAGAAAAAAATAGAATCTGATGAGAGTTAAACTTTATTCTCATTGATTGAGATTTTTCACCATAAATAAAATTCCTACGAATTCTTCACATATCTGATACTATTATTTCAAAAATATAGTAATAAATATATATACTATAAATTATATATATACATATATCTTATCAGAGATTATATATATATATATATATATATATATATATATATATATATATATATATATATACACATATATTTTCTAACGATGATGACAAGTGATCTTATCACATTTTTATTATTGTGATATATATATAAATGATAACATATATCACAATAATAAAAATGTGATAAGATCACTTGTCATCATCGTTAGAAATTGAGTTTGTCGAAGTTATATAGCGATAAAACGAAGAGATGGATCTTTTTTTTAGTTTGGGTGGTTTCAAAAAAAAGTAGAGTCGCAGGGAGACAAAACACGCAAGCGCGCATTTGGTTTCCTCGGCATGTGACAGCTTCGAGATGGATAAAGAAAGAGAGAGAGAGAGAGAGAGAGAGAGAGAGAGAGCGAATGAGAAGAGAGAGAGCGAGATGACATCTGATTAAATAGGATTTTTTTCTTCTCCTTACCGCATGTACATACGTGTACACTTTCCGCAGTACGTGATGTTTCGGTGAACCGAGTTTTCGTTCTACGAGGACGAGGTAAATGGAGAAACGTCAAATGCGGCGTGATCACGCAGTCATCGCGGCCGAAAGGTGAGAACGTACACGATATATATATTTCGTTTATACGCGTTATTCGCGCGTGAATTATGTTAATCCTGTAGGAAATTACCGCACACTGCACAAGAAACTCGCGAATCTTCGAACTTTCGCACCAGACGCGATTACATTCGATTGCACTGTGCAACTGTGCTTTAAACTTGGAGCACACGTATATTTTTAACATCGCGCCCGAGAGATACACTCGAAATTCATATAACTATTATTAGATCATGTTTACCTGATTGATTGTACTTCTTGGGCGTCAAGGTTGAATTTTATTATTCCTAAGTGCATAGTAAGATGTGGTAAAAAGGCCATGTGGAAAATGACAGGCAATGCCATTAACTTCTCAAATAAATCTATGAACATAAATAATAATGTGAATGTTAACAATAGATAAAGATGTTTATTACAAGGCAAGTATATAAAAGAGACTTTTATTCCCTGATTATATATATATATATATATATATATATATATATATATAAAATCAGGAAATATATGTATAATAAATACATAGATTGTTTCAAATATGATTTATCTTTGTTTGTTTACATTTGTTATAAATGTATCGTTGATAAGATCAATTGTAAAGAACTATAAATCAATGTCATTTAGATTAATACAAAAAGTATAACTTGTAAATAATCTTTGTTACAACAGTTAAATCAATTAGATGACGTCACATTGTAGTAAAATGTTGAATCTTATACACAGAAAAATTTCATATAATTATTTACTAAAAAATTGTTTCATATTTTCTAATATTTAATTTGCACATTATTAACAATACATTTTTACTTTTATACTCATTAATACAATAATTATCTATTTTTATCTTTATATAGATGGACAGATTGCGACTACTGCCCATAGATTTACCTCCAATTATTGTCAACAGTAATGGCAGCACTAAAGGCAAGGCATCTTTTGTTCGACGATTGGCAATAGGATTTGTAATTCTGGCCATATTGGGTCTTTTATATGTGCCAGCCTATCATTCTGCTCAGAGTCCATTTTTAGGCTTAAGTGAGACTCAATCTCCTGCAGAATCTCTTGGCAGTTCGCACTTGATATCATCTATGGGTATGTATTCATTCCTTATCCTTATTTAGAATAATACAATGCCTCTAAAGAAAAATTGGATATGAAAATATTTAATTTTAATATAAATATACAAAAATATTTAATTTTTCACATAATAATATAGAAAATTAATTTTTAGCACAATTACCTGGGTGGTCATATAATACATCAAGAAATCTCTGTGCTTACATTCATCCAGAGAATACCACGTCAATTCTCAATCCTACGAGCATTTGTTCACTACAACCATACTTGTTAATAATTATATGCTCAGCAGTTGCAAATCAGGAGGCCCGTGCCGCTATTAGGAACACCTGGGCTAATAAATATTACTTAGATAATTTGTACAATTCTACAGTCAAAATAGCATTTTTATTAGGACAAAGTGACAATGATACACTTAATGTACGTATTCGCCTTGCAGTTTTATGTCTGCATATGCATTTCTAACTTTACAGAAGGTTCTTTAATTCTTTATTTTTCTCGTAGAATTTGATTATTGAGGAAAATTCTCAGTACAATGATATTGTACAAGAACGTTTTCTTGATACATATAATAATCTGACATTGAAATCAGTTATGATGTTAAAATGGGTGACATCAAATTGCGATAAAGTTAAATACCTCATGAAAACAGATGACGACATGTTCGTGAATATTCCATTGCTGCTGCAAACACTGCACTTGAGAACACAGCCAGAGACTCTCCTAGGTTCTCTCATTTGTAATGCTAGACCGATATTGGATCCTAAAAACAAGTGGTAAGTATTCTTCTTTATTTGTTTTATCATTTAATTTTATTTTATCAAGAGATATGTAGCATATGTAAGAATAATGTAAAATGACAATATAATTTTAATTATGCAGGTATACACCAAAGTACATGTATTCGGAGAAAACATATCCAAATTATTTGTCAGGCACAGGATATGTTATGAGCATGAATGTGGCATCGAAATTATATCAAGCAGCATTAATAACACCATTGCTACACTTGGAGGACGTTTATATTACGGGTTTATGCGCGAGGCGTGCAAAGATTCGACCTGTCAATCATCCTGGATTCAGTTATGTACCTCGCAAGATAGATCCCTGTGTACTCAGGAACGCCATAACCACGCACAAGGTTAACGCGTCTAATATGTATGTGATTTGGGTGAAAGTAAACGACACGAATGTTTCTTGCAGCAATCGTACTCGTAATGATAGAAGAACGGTCACTCTGAGCAGAAGTGGCAGAAATGCCGGCTATTATGTCTTTAAAAGAAAGACTATAAATAAATGCGTTTAGATATGTTTTTCAAAGCATTGATATGTTTCACGCGGATTATATATATTATATATATATTGTATTATATATATATATATATATATATATATATTGTTATATAATATTATATAATATTATACATGTTATACATATATAAAATTAATTTTTATCAAGTTTTTATTAGGCATAAATGAAATTGTGTCTAATAAATGCATGTGATTTGAAAGCGATGAATTTCTCGTTCTAAAAGTTTAAAGTTTCTATCGAATTTCTCAAAATTAATTGTTTTTTATGAACATTTTTGGTATCGAAATATTATTTCTTGTTTTTTATATCAATTTACGCCATTTATCGAAGAAAATTTAATCCTAACTAAATAATTTGGATTATAAAAGAACAAAATTATCAATGAATTTTCACACATCTTTGATTCTATAAGACTATGTCCAGTTTTCATTGTTAGTTTATGATAGCCTTTATATAAAAATTATACAAATGAGACTGCAGCTAATTTGCACCAATTTAATTGATTATATCGATTAGCGATTCACTGTCTCTTGGTAGATTTTACGCATAATATAAATGGAGACAGATTTTGATTAATTTATTTATTTAACATTAATATTGATGCAATTGGCACTATGCATTTTTAGAGAGAAGCGATTGTGACAGGCGTTCGTGTGTTTTCTATGATATTTTTCTATTTAAACCAAAGTAGTATTTAAGGATACGCTCTGTCAATTAGATCGTTTACATAATTTATATTGTCTTTTCCGCTTCCTCTTTTATTGTAAGACACATGACAATTTAAGACAATGAGATTTCTGGCACGCAATGTTCGAATAACGAATGTTACTGTATTATGGACAATTCGTTCGAACGTTAGACGATTGTCGATTGACATTTCCTATAATAATATTTAAATAATATATTTATCTATATGTAGTATAGGAAGAAATTTCTTTGTGAGACATATGATTTCGTTGCAATAATCATATATGTCGAACAAGAATTGACAGTTAAATAATTAGTGACTGAAGTACACAGGAAAGAGCACAAGCAACTCTTCCCTATCCTAATAATACAAATCTGTGTAATATTATTGCTTCCACGTACTTATGTGAAGTTATTTAGAAAAGTAATAGCATTGATATTATTAATCCATTTATATTTCAGAATTTTCTAATAATCTTATGTTTCCTGTGCATATATAACATATAAAAATTATGCACAAGAAAACTGCTTCCTTCATTTAGTGTAATAAGATGTACATATTATTTTACATCTAAATAACAAAACAATATGTTAATGATTTAAAGTCTAAGTAAAGAAAAATTTCGTGATTGATATTAGTAAATTTGATCCAATGAATTATTAATTAGATTGTATCTCTGTCTAAATATTGACAACTTACTAAAAAGTTACTTTATAATACATAAATGCGCTATATTGGTTGTATTTTAACTCACTTTTTATCACAGACAATTGAAATAATGTGATCATATTTTTAAGATTAAGATATTATGTTATTTTTTGCGGCTTAAAATATGAGCAATTTTACAAAGCTTAACATTATATTTATATTGCATCGTTATTGGACATATTAAGAACTTATTAAGAGTGAATGTTCAAAAAGCATTTTTGCTTTATAATAAAAATATTTTTTTTTCATATGCTATTATAAAAGAATCCAAAATTCAAAAAAGTCTCCGGTTATAGTACATATATATATATAAATTTAATGCATAATATAAATGGATATATATATATATATATATATATATATATATATATATATATATCGTGAAGTATATACAAATACAGATGTAAGTGTATATTGCGAATATATTGTCGAGAAAAACTAATTTTTGTCTATAAAACATATCTATTCAACTTCAGTATTCGAATTGATTTCGTATTTTATATATTAGAATATATTTTGCTTCGTTGAAATTATTTATATATTTAATTAAAAAATTTTTAAATATTTTTTATATAAAAACTATTAAAAATTTTCTATATATAAAACATAATTTTAAATTATTTATATATATATATATATATATATATATATACATATATTAACTATTGTTTTTTATATATAATCATTTTTTTCAAATAAATTTTATATTTATGTTATAAAAACACAATAGATTTATGTACTCTTACTTTCTGTAATTAGTGAATTTTGGATTCTTTTTTTTCTTCTTCCAAATGGAAGTTATGTAAATCTCATTGTTTCCAATAATATTGTGGAAGATTATAAGATAACGCGGTAAAGTTTAACTAATTTTTGAACAGATATATCATAAATACTACAAAGCAGTATTATTTGTAATGTATGATAAAATTAGTTTATTATTAAAGCTATTAAGAGAACTTGATATGAGCCTAATACATAATAGAATTTGCTCTGAATTTTGTTAAGAATTTGTTATAATTTCTTATTAATATATATAATCTGGAATTTGTAATATATTCCGCGTATATCACTTTATATCATATCACGATAATTAAAAAATTTGAGTAGTAAAAAATTTGTGTGAATTGTACTATAATTGTGCTTCAAAATTAATACATTCCATGATCCATGACGATGAGATATTTATATAACTTAGAATAAAGATAATAAAAATTATATATATGGAATACCTTCTAGTGGCCTTAGAAACTTTATTTTATAATAAATAGATTTGGCATTGAATTTTTTTTATCATTAAAATATCTTCGCTAGGCCATCGTAATATTGGGTGCTATATGATATCTGAACGAGTGTTGCTGTGTAATAATATACATTTATAAGAATACAAGTGTAATATGATGATACATCATGTTGCAAGTTCCGTCAATCCTTACACATCGAATCAACTAAAAAAAAAAAAAAAATTTCTTCCTATTTAAAATATATATACATTTTTACTTATATGAAATATATAATTCAGATGATATATTATTTTATATCACGCTGTAGTATTAGTATGCTGTTTATATATTATTGCAAAAGCGTTTTAAATAAGAACAATGATCTGTACATTTGTCTAAACATACAACAGAAATTGCGCATAAAACAAATATATAAATATTGTTCTGTGTTGCATTTCAAAAATAAAGAGAAAAAACTAAGATGCAATTATTTATTAAAAATACAAATATATATTTTACATATACATAATAAACTACAACATGCTACATTATTGTTTTGTTAGAAACTTTGCTTAGACAGAAATTTAAAAATATAAAATTAATAAGTTTTATACTAATTTTATTCATAACTAGAAATCGCTATCCATGTTTGCGAAAAGTATAATCATGAAAATGTATAATATCTACTAATCGAAACGAATTATTTTTATATAATTTATCTTGATTTGTGTATGTAATAAAATTAATGCTGACTTCAAGACACTTCAAATCTTTTTTCGATTGATATTAATTTTCTTCTTTGAAGTAAACAAATCATGATTTTGTAAAAGTAAAGTATAACTACTACTATTTACAAAGTATAAATTTACAAATATATGATAATTATAAAATATTATTTATATGCAGGCGATAATATTCATTTATGAAATGTATTTATAAAATATTGTCTATTATTAGTGAGAAGTATATATAGGTTTTTATTTTTTAAAATTAATTTAATTTATAATTATCTTTTCTAAATTATCTTATATGTACATATTCAAGAATGTACATACAACATAATAATAATGTATTTTAGAGCAGATAATTTAATATCAAGTTTATATGAAAATTTTATTACATATATTATTAGTATTCCTTATAGTATTATTTTTTGATGTAATAATATATGTAATAAAAATAAAAATATCTGAAATATTAATTAATATAATTAATTTCTATTGAATATATTTATTATTTACCTATTATTTATTTCTTATTAAATTAATTTTAAAGTTCATAATAAAACAGATATGTATATAACATCTAGCATTTTTATACTTAAAAAGACTGAGCACACACAAAGTGTACAATAATAAAAAGTAATAAACAACAAATTGAATTTTTGTTAAAATACAAATTATATGAATAACAAATGATGAAATAATGATTAAATATTAATATTAGCATTTTTCAAGAGGTTTGTGTGTTATGTGTGAAAATTTTATTACATATATTATTAGTATTCCTTACAGTATTAAAAATTAAAAATATTATTCGCTGTTTCAAAATTACTTTCATATATTCATTATTATGATTTATATTTTATTGTACAAAGGCAGAAATGTATATGAAAAGTAATTGATTTGCATTATCCAGATTCATATGTGATAATGCAAATCTATCTCATTTCAATAATTAATAATCTCAATACACTATTTTAGATTTCCTTTTTACACAGGTGTAAGATGGGTTTGAGTGGGTTTCTTTTTTAATCCATTTGCACTTAACGCTTCTGTAAGATCAAATGCTGTTAATTTTTTTATCACACTGTTTAAGTCATCTGTACAATTTTTTTTTTTATTATAATAATTATCTATTTGTTTTTGACACGTTTTTGCTCATGTTTATTTTTTTTTATTTTCTTGTTAAATGATTTGTGTAGTATATTTTCTGCAGAGTTCAAGTATTTTTTTAATAATAACAAGTCTTCCTCTTTGCTAGTTCTACAATACTTCCATGTTGTAGCTTTTTCCTCGATTTCTTCCTTGACGTGCATATTTCTTCTGTCTTCATCTATTGGAAGTGTTATTATCGTTTCATAAATATCTTTATTAGTTTTATTCTTTGAACTATTTGAATATGAGATAACTGGATTTATATTTAATTTTTTTGACTTTATAAAATATGGATTCTTTATTTTAGTCTTCAGCTCATTTGGTATGTCATAATCTGATGCTGTTTCATGTGTCACATATGGAATATTTTCCTCAAATCTTTTCTTTTGCCTATTTTTCTTTTTTCTTTTGCTACACTTTCCAGATTTTACATTTAATTGTGACTTGCAATCTTTTTCTTCTTTAAATCTTGTTAATTTTTTGTTATGTGGAGAGATATACTTTGAATCTGTATAATTTTTCTTCAGACTGCAAATACTAAATTGCTGTGTCAATTGATTTAATCTTCGTCTATCATTTTTTCTCTTTTTCTTGGATTTAAAAATCAAATTTTCATATTGGGATATGTTTTGACCAGTAATTATTTCCTGATTATTGTCTGGATCCTCACTCTCCTCTGTATCTAATTCTATTTTTGTTTCCCTATGAATCATAATATTTTCTTTAACTAGACTTTCATCTGATTGAGATTGACTGTTAGTTATAACATCCACAAATAATTTAGGTTTCTGTTGCTCAAATGTCTCGATACATTTTGAGTAACCCAAAGATGTGATAGCATGTGTTGCCATTGTTCTAGTATCATGTATTTTATCTAGTTTGTTAGTCGTTGGACTATATACAGAATTTTTGCAGTCTTCTTTTCTTCTTTTTCCATAGAGATATCTTGTACAGATATCAAATGACCATTGTGAAGAGTAGAACTTTTCAGAAAGTTTCCATATTTCAATTGTTTCATTTTGCTTTTGTTAGAAGAAACAATATTCCAGTCGTCACTCATATTCAAATCGTTAATTGTAGATAAACAAACTTTGTTGTTACACACATCGACCTTGATATTTTTGACAGCTTTATCATACAATGTTTCCCACCACTGCTCCGAATTGGTTTCATTAAATCCTATTCCTGCTTTATCGAATTTTAACGTTGGTTTTAAGGCTTCCGTAAGACCGTTTTCATTTTTACCGAGTCCTTTCCCTATATTATGAAAAAAAAAAATATTAATTCTTTGCTCTGGCCATTGTAAGATGACAATAGATATTTTGTTATCATCGATATTTATTGCAATATAAACAAAAACAAAGATAAAAAGAGAACAAAATTTATATCAAAAACACATGTAACAAACAAGTATATGTCGTTTTATTTGAATAAAAAAATCATGTGACATCCTACCTTCTGTCCAACCGTACTTCAGCAGTTGTGTTTGCGCAAAATTTCCATAAGCCATTTATGTTCTTGTACAATTTCCTTTCTATATTTTTCAAATTGCACGTTTACACACAATTTGCCACGTTTTTTTAATGCATGCCAGTATTATACAGCTGTGCTTCAAGATCATGAACCATTTACCACAAAAGATGTAAGAAATAGAAAGAAAACGTTTGTCGAATTTTGTGCCTATGTCATATGTCCTGAAACTAGTTATCTGATTGGTTATCAAATGGACCAATTGTAAAAATTTTAAAATATAGATAATAATAATATAAATTTAGATAATAAATTTCATAATATAGATATCTGTGATAAATAAAAATAATACAAATGTCTGTGATAAATATTAATAGCAGAAAATGTTTGCAACTTTTTTGAAAATTTAAATTAAAAAAAATATAAATAAGATATTAAGATTATGTAATAAGAGAGAAATTTAAAAAAATTTTTTTAATTTTTAATCTAAAAATTCTTTCTGTTCTTCTTTCTCTCCTTTCATCTTGTAAATATACAAAGATATTTGTTGCCAGATTATATCATAATGCATATCAATTTTTATTTTATTACACAGCAATCAATTAAGATCTTTTATTTATTAAAGAGGTAGATGTGATAATTTTTTATCTAGAATAGTTTAATATATCTGATCTTATTTGTATGTATTATTATATTAAAAAAATAATTTTATTAATTATTTTATTATTATTATTATAATTATATTTTTCCAAAGTAACAATATAAATATAGAAATTATACATATTGTAATAAACAAGTGATTTAAATCTGTCAATAAATTGCTAATGTGTTAAATTTATCACTAAATGCAGCAATTACTTCTTTTTTAATGTACAGATTAAGCAATGTTGGATTTTATTTGCATGTGGATAAAGAATTTATTTTATACTCAACAAGACTCACCCATTTAGAAGCTGTTGTTCACTGTTGAAAGGAGGCAATCTTTCAGATTGCTAGAGTTAAAACAATGTCATAAGCTCAATCATAGGTATTCTTCATGATATGAGTCCGATCTATTTCAGAACCAGATTAAATAGAATGTTTTTAACACTTTTATAATGACAAAAGCTTTACATATAAATAATATATATAAATATATATAATAATTATTCTCTATATAAAATACTATAATTTCTTATGTAATAAAAAAAATTTCTCTTTATATCTACACATAGATCAGCAAATATGCAATTGTAAATATATGTGAAAATGATTGTTATCTAATTACAATATTTCATTTATGAAGAAGTTATAATAGAAAATTGCATTGTTGCCTTTTGTTGAATTGACATATGTGTGACACACTATAGTTTATTTGGAGACAAAGTGCAATTATAAACATAATGTTCTTTGTTAAAGATGTAAGAATAACTGTAGCAATAATTGTAGAATTAATGTTTGTTTCACGATATAAGAGTCTGCTTAATTATATGTTTTATATACCTATATTTGTGTGTGTGAATGTATATAAAATATAATTAAATAATTGAATTTTTTAAATATTTTTGTTATTTAGAGAATGACTATTTTAAAAAATTGTATTATGTTAAAAATGATTATAAAATACTCTAAAATAAAAAAATTTATAATAATTATAATATTGTAATTATTGTATCTACTTAAAATTATATTTATCAATACACCAACCTTCTTTTAGCTTTGCTAGAAAGCAAATGAGTGAAAAACCATTCCAGTTTAGTTTATATAGAGGAATGTCATTACTGGATAAGACTCGATGCATTATTGACATTGGTGTCATCTTATTTTAAACCTAAATCTCCTGTAAAGTATTAATAAACGTATTACTTATTATATTAAATTCTTTGAGAGTTATTAATCATATGATGTCTCTGATGAAAGACAACAAAGACAAAATAATTGAGTATCAAAAAAAATTATATATAAAAGAATGTTATGCATGCATGAAATAGAATGCATGGATTAAATGAAAAAGTAATATCTTGTTTTCTCACAAAATAATATAAAACCTATTTGTAATATTAGAAATTAGAAGAATTATTAAATAAAAATAATAATTGCATACAAGTCCTCAATAATAAACAGTGAAGTTTTAATATACATTTCTCATTTATATATAAATGTAAAACATAGAATTTCTTTAAAATAGAATCTGTCATACTAAATTATTAGACAACTAATAACTTGTTATCAATAATAAAATATTGCCATAAATGGAAATGTCCAATCTTATAATTTATCTGTGCTTTCTCACAATTTTTTCTCTGGAAGAGAAGTTGAATACAGACTTCTAGTTGAAAAATATATTATGATAAAATTGAATAATAATTTACATTATTTTATCATAATAAAACATCCTATGCTCCCCACATACAAATAATACAAAACATTATTAACAACATAATAAATATGTTCAAATGACAAATAAAAAAATAAGCTGAAAAAAGTGATAAGAATGCTTTCTTTAGATTTAACTATTAAAAGAAAAGTGAAATAGGTATAAAAAAAATTTTTTACTAACTTGTATATATATATATATATATATATATATATATATATATATATATATATGTATGTAAATATCGAGATAAACAGGTTAGAACATTATCTCGATCTATTTATCAAGATTCAATCTTGTGAATAAAATATTTGAATTCTCATATATATTGTTCGGTACACGATCCTCGCAATAAATTATGACTTTCGAGCTGTTTCTTGTAAGAAATTTATAGTAACCGTTAAGGCTCGTCTACATAAGCAGTAAGCAATTCAGAGTAACATGCTATATATACTGTCAACTGAAGACAGTTTAAAGTCTCGCTAAAAGTGGAATGCGTATAATCGTACTTGATATGTTCATTTACATGTGATTTTGAAAGGAAAATATTAATTTTAGATCTTAATTTTTTTTCTACTACTTGTATTATGCATGATCACTTTCATTTGCATAATTACTTTAAACGAGTTTGAATTTTTGCGCTAAATTGTGGGAGAACAGTCCTGCAAGTTTCGATAGATCACGTGACAATTCTTTGAATTGATTGGTTGAAACGGTTATACGCGCCAAAAAATCTACCAATGAGATGATTCAGAATCCATATATTACTACGCCGAGTTTGACCAATCAAGACAAGGGAATTTTGGCACTCTTCATCTTGATTGGTCCGAGACGCTACGTGCTGCGTGCAGCGACTTCTTCTTCCTCTTTCTGCGCGGGAACGTCGTGGCGCACGGAGGTAGATTTGTGCGTTGCATAATATCTGTACATGTAAGTCGACAAAGAGATAATTAAGCCAAATAGATTATATAGATTATTATTCACGACAGCATTGTCTTTTGAATAGATTGTGAAATAACGTATTGTTTTTATGACATATAAGATGCTACGTGTGCTATCTATCTATCTATCTATCTATCTATCTATCTATCTATCTATCTATCTATCTATCTATCTATCTATCTATCTATCTATCTATCTATCTATCTATCTATCTATCTATCTATCTATCTATCTATCTATCTATCTATCTATCTATCTATCTATCTATCTATCTATCTATCTATCTATCTATCTATCTATCTATCTATCTATCTATCTATCTATCTATCTATCTATCTATCTATCTATCTATCTATCTATCTATCTATCTATCTATATATATATATATATATATATATATACATATATATACATACACACAACAATTTGTCCTTTTTTTCTGCGCAGGCGGGAACGTCGAGTCGTGTCGTACAGAACACACGGAAGTATATAGAGATCACGCGCTCCGGAAATATCTGTACAGGTAAGCCAACAAAGAGATTATGAAGCCAAATAGATACTATTATTTGCAATAGCATTGTTTTTTGAATAGATTGTGAGATATAGTGTAATATTTTTGTGACATATTATATGTTAAGAATGGGAATAAGAGATCAGCGATTTTTTCGGGTCAAATAATCATGGTCATTTTGATTTACTCTCATGATTTTCGAATATTTGTACATTTATAGAGACGAATTTAAATTTATATATACATAATATACATTATATATAATATATAATATACATATATATAATTGAGTTGACATCGTATAATGTTGAATATAATAATAATATATTGGCCTAAATACAATAAAAAATTATTTTTTAAAATTTATGATATAAAAATTTTAATTTATGTAAATATATTTGTACAGGTAATGACAATTACTGAGGATGTGTGGGTGAAATATAATTGTGCAACGCGTGCGACGAATGACTTGGAGATCTGACTACAAACATATCAAACTGTACATTATTCATGCCAACCATTTATTGTACAAGTAAGTTTAGAAATAGTACATTATTTTCTTTCTTTGATGCAATTTGTGCCACTTTTATTTTTGCATCAAATCTATGTAAATTTCTCAATGAATATTATATGAATATTATATATGAATTTCTCAATGTTGAATATTATTAGCAAACAATTATAATATATAACATTAAAATCAAAATCAAAAATAGAAATATCTATAGAAATTTTGTCTATGTGAAAATAATAAAAAAAATAAGAAAATAATAAATATATTTAATAAAATGTTATTTATTATTATAAGAAAGCTATACTTTTATTTTTCTCTCTTTATTGAATATAATATATAAAAAATATTTAATATTTATTATGCATAATATATAAATATGTAATACATAATTACATTATTGTTTTTACTCTATTTTGACATAGTTCATACTAAGTTTTCAATTTTATTTATTGACATATTTCATTCCATGTTGAATATTTTTTACATTTTTTCAATAGACAATGTTTTTTCTTGTCTAAACAACATGAGAACATTTATTTTATATAAACATGAACAAAAATATTTTATCCTAAATATAAAATAAAATAAAAAGTTAAATTTGTAATTTTTAAGAATACAGCATACTGTAATTTTTATTTTTTTATATTATTAGATAATAGAGTCTATAATATCTAGAATATTAGATAATAAATAGGGGAAAAAAATGATGAATTCATGAAATAAGAAACAAAATTGATAAATTTATGAAACATTACTTATAATATATATGAGTCTTATAAGAAATAGAAACTTAATAATGTTATTCTTAAATTGTCTTCACCAAATTAGTGTTAACACCTACTTAAATAATTCAAGACCACACATTAAATTATTTGAGTTTTAAATGCAACAAATAAAAGTTAATATTTCATATTGTATGCTATCCAGACAGTTTAATGGAAATTAGCGTTGCCATACATCTAGAAATAAAAAACATTTATTGTTCTGCATAAAACTATAAAGAATGATAATTACAATTCACGCTGCGGCACATTCTTAAGAATTACAATGTTAATGTTTATTCAAATAATTGAAAACAACGTGAAATAATTCGAACCATAAATCTAGCAAACAAAAGTTAATGTTTGCGCTGTATATGTATTGCTTAGATAATTTATAGAAAATAGCTCAAATTAGTGCCACATGTCTTAAAAATAGAAATAAAGTTTTTTTTTTATAAATTTATTAATGTTATTTATTTGTGTATTATCTGCTGATATTCCGACAGAATAATTTTTACAATTTTTCTTTTGCGATATAAAGAGAAATATATTGTGATAAATATATTTTTGAAAGATAGTTTTCAGAATCAACAATATATAATTTCCATCTGTATGAGCATGTGCGTAACTTTTGTTAAATAATATTAAATTAAATATATTAACTTTATCGGTACAGTTATTAATTCTTGCGTAGAGCCATGAAATTAATAATTACATTAAATCCTATATTGAGCTAATTATAAATATATATTTAAATATATATAATTATAAATAAGTAGAAAATCATTTCTAGTTATGATAATCGTAATTTTTTTTATAACTTATCTGAATATTGCATTTTTTTCTTAGAGGTTTACATTTGTAAGTACAAGGCTGAAAATCTTGAAATACTTCAGTTACTCAATGTCTGGTGATATAGTCAGACAACAACTATATAGCTTCTCGGAGCATGAATATATGTATACATTTGAGATAATAAAAGAAATGTCTTATAAGAATGGTATCTTATTACTTTTTTCATGATTTTTATATATTTTTATATTTTTCATGCTTATTATGTTTTCCTCTAATATTTCTTGTTCATAAATTGCTTTGGGTATATTTAGTTTATAAAGCATGTTGGGTTCTTAAAAGAAAATTTTAGTTAAATTTTTTCAAGGATGGATTTACATTACCTAATCTATTGAATTATTAAAAGAAGTGTTTCTGTAATTTTTTTTCTTTTCAAATTTATGACATACATTGCGAATTTTAGCTTTTATTGAGACATATGTGACATTAATTTGAAATATTTAGAGTTGTTAATTTAATAAGACACATTTGCGAAATATATTCTGTTTTTAAATTATATAATTATTCTGTCTTTAAATTATATAATTATATAATTTTAAAGACAGTTTAAGAGTTTGTGGTAAGTTGGTAGATATCTCTTATTGTTAGTATTTAAGAATGAGAGTCACACACCTACATTTTTTGAGGCCAATACATGGTCTGCTGACTTAATGAAATAAATGCTTTTGTAGCTTTTATTTCTTAGAGATTTATGATATTAATACAATGTGTATATAATATATGTACAATGAATACATGTATATACATATAAATGCGTGTAAAAGCATCACAAAAATTGAACTATGATATGAACAATTAATGCTCCCAGGTTTTGCATTGTTATTATGTGTTTTATAATTCTATTTTTTATTTATATTAATCTTATTACACATGATAATACGCTGCATATATGCGCGGTATTATCGATTATGATTATTCTAGATCTTCCATAAGATCTTGAGTATAAGAGATCGTGGCTAATGTAACGAATAATCACAAAAATTATACCTTTACTTTTAATCAAACATGTGACAACGGTCTATTTAGGACAAATGGAAAAAGGAAATAGAAGAAGGCTATATATGTGGCCGAATTTTCACGAATGCACCGGATGCAATTCAATGCAAACGGTGACCCCTCTGTGCAATGCGAGGTTGCAGTTTTATTCTTTTTATGCATTTTATATGAGAAATTGCTAGGAGCATGTATGCCAATTTTTCCTAGGAATCATTTAGCTTACCATTTCTAATTGCATCAATATTCGTAGTACTATTCGTATGTACTGATATTTATCTTATGATTTTTTATTTTTGATTGTAACGTTCTAATTAATGCAATAAAATAAATATTGTTGTACATACATATCAATGATTAATGAATTAATTAAAATGAGATAAATAGAATTATTTTAACTAATAAAAAATCAGATCGTAACGAATATAAACATTGAATATTTTCTCCAATAAAAATAAATTGACGATGCGAAACGCGACTCATCGGAGTTAATTACGATTTTTCGTAGCGTCAAAATAAGATCCGAATACTACGTTAGAAGTTTTCAATCGACAAGAATGTGTTCATTCTTCCGCGTCTCATTGCACATTCCAGACGACCTAGTTTTGCCTATATTCGCCGCAATCGAGCTATATGTATAGCTACTCTCTTGAGTATCGTGCGCGCGCCGAATCCATTCGTTTTCTCAAAATAAAGTTCCTGTGCATTTTGTGATGAATTTTTATGAATTCCCAAATCAATAATTTTTATTTTTTACTTTCAATCTCAATAATTATCTCACGCTTATGTATTCTAGGATTTTGATAGGTTTAATTTATTAAGAATTGAATTTTCTTTATATTTACTATATATATATATATATATATATATATCTCTCAAATAAATAAAACAAAGAATTTCTTATTTAATTTAAAAAAGGAACTTTCGGCAAAACTATAGATTAAAACGTTTCGAAAGAGAGCAATTTGACTGCTTCAAATATCAAAGTAGAGAGATGTTTGATTGAAAATTGAGATTAAAAGTATTAGGAAAAAGAATTTGATTCGAATTTGTACGAAATTTGCGTTTTGTGCGATTTTCATCATTTCAAGAAACTTTTTTCGCGAAACATTCAAGGTGTAGGTTTGGCATTTTGCGTTATTTAAATAAGTTTCTCCATCGGCAAATTTAAATCAATTCGATTTTGTGTATTTGAAAGTTAAATTTCCTCAATAAATCGAGCAAATGTCGTGCGATTTTTGTGCATAATTCTCTCGCTATGTTTCGATTATGCCATATTTTGAATGCAAGGCGTGGTGGGAAGAAGATAAAGCTCTTTAGTAAATGAGTCTTCTATTCTATCCACCTAAAAGAGGGCTAGTACATATGTGAGCAGGATACCTAAAACGCATTGCAAGAAGAAGATAAACCGTAAACGTGCTTAATCCAGTTGTCGGTATATTAATGCCAGGGAGGAAACATGAGAAACTGACGAAAGGAAATAGAGAGCGAGGATGAGAGGAAAAAGGAAATAGAGAGTGAGATGAGAATAGGGAGAGAGACAGAGAGTGAATCTCTCTTGCCTCTTGTTTCTCTGGCGTAAATGAAAGAACGGTCGGGAGAACATCGTCGAGGTCGGACGATGAAAAATAGGGAGGAACGTGGGCGGTGGAGCAACGTTGGAAACCATTTTTTGTCTTCTATTTCTCACTCTATTTTCTTTCTCTTTTCTCTCATGTCGTTGGGTTAGTCTTTACTGATGATGAACGATCTTATTTTGCGTACGGCGCCATCATCTATAATCTATAATTAAGATGATATTATATAAAATTCGGTTGCGCTTGGAGCAAAGGACGATTCGCATGAAAAATACTTTTTATCGAGATTTTTTAGAATATTTCATAAAGTTTGAAATTTCTTTACGAAAATTAAGAGAACTTTTTCTTCAAGATTTTTTCTTATCTTTGATTGGGTTTCTAAGAACCATACGAAACGATTTTTTACAGAAATGTTTCTTGAAGTATTACGTTCTTTTCATCTTTTATGACATTTCAAATAATTTTGCTCCTTATTTTCTCAGATTCAAAAAGAAAATTTTTATAAATTTTCTCTGCGAGTATTTCCAATAATAATTATTTCTTTACTTGAAAAATAATACAAAATTAAAATAATTAAAACTAAAATTCCAAATTCACTTTTACATTGTATAATCTTACTTGCAAAAGGATGTTGCCATTGAGTAAATTTGACAGTAAATTTCGATGTTATTACTAGATGCTCATTTTCTGAGACTTCTCAGAAAATCTTCACGCGTAATGTATAAGATACGATAGGATGCATTACGGTTCATCGTTCCTATGAGATTCAACGATGCGTGATAAGCACGCGTCTCCCTCTGACAGCTTACAATGTTTATGCTAATAATAATATTTTTATCATGAGCTTTTATCTTTTGATAAGAAAGAGATTCATCCCGTTAGCAAGCAAAATTTGCATGCACGTATTTGCCAGCATTTACATATAGTTCGCATTAATAATTATTTTTTAGTAATCAATTATAATGACGATTCTACATTGCATATATACGCAAATATTTATATACAATTTTAAAAAGACACATTTTAAATGTATCTCGCACTGAGAAAAAAAATTGTTAACGTGACTAAATCGTTCGACTAAATTACGATTTTCTTAATTGAACATATATAAGTATTTAAGTCAAATACACATTTTGTTAGATGTTGTATTGAACGTTATTGTTAATATGTTTTATTTAATTTAAATATTTCTATATATTCAATTAACAAAATATTAATTAATTCAATGAACAGAATAATATTTAGTTGAATGATTTAATCAAGTCAACAAATTTTTCTTTCAGTGTGGATGTATTATTTTGCATATTAAACTCATTATCAGACAGACAATTTTTATTTAATAAATTGCTGAATTAAATTATTAACTTTCTTATTTAAAATATTTAATTATAAAAATGTTGATTTTCCAGTAGCATATTATAATATTTTTAGTAAGAATTTTTATACAAACATACATTATATTATTTTAGTATTAACAGGTAGAGCAATAAAAAAAATCTTTCATTTTTTTATTTGAATATTTTGACGTTAAGATAAGATGTTCAGGTAGTTAATATTCATCTACTTCTATTGTAAATGATAAAAATGTAATGCATAAGTTTTATTAGACTGTCATATAATTATTTATTATCGCTATTAATCTCTTTCTAGAATCCTTTATACGACGTAATTCGTCATTTATGATATCTCGAACTATATTTAAAGAGCTGAAATTGCAACTTAAGGATGTCTTCATATACTAATCTCATGAAGTTCACTTACTCATATAATATTTATGACGTAATAGACATTATAGAAGTTGATGTGGTCAATAGATTTAAAAAATAATTTTAGACATAATTAACATAATTACATTTTTTTAAAGTATTTGATATATAGAATGTTCTTAATAAATCTTTTTTTTTCTTTGAGAAAAGACAAAGATAAGAGAATAACTATCTTTTTATAATAAATAAATCTTGTATATTATTGTAGTTTATTCTACTTGAAAAGAAATATATCATTTTTTTTCATATCAACCTTTAATTATTTTAATTATTTAAAAAGTCGAGATATCTATTGGTCAATAATACGTAACGTAACTATTTTTTCATTTATTGTAGAGAGAGAGAGAGAGAGAGAGAGAGAGAGAGAGAGAGAGAGAAGGAAGAGATTTAAATAATTTTTGTCTCATATGGTTTTTTATTTTAAAAGAATCACAAGCGCGAGAAAAATCGCTAGGAAAGAAATTTGTCCGGTTTACAACTTCGGTATCACCGCGGTATTACTGTTTCGTGCGTCCACTCTATCGCGTTCTCACCAACTTTTGTCTCGCGTTACAGAAACGCTTGTCACGAACATGTAAAACGCAATATTCTCAATCGCAATCGAAGATAGTGACACGGTTATATTATTGCGAGGCAATAATAAAATCAATTGCAAAGGTAAAACAATAATAAAAATAATTCGAAAGAGGATACGATATAGAAATGAAAAATGTTAAAAATCCAATACATTTATTGGTGCAATTTGTTTACATCCACTTTTCAATATAAACGCGAATGGTTATCTGACATTGTGTCATACGACATATTTAAACAAATATTTACTTTTCTGATTATTTTTTTAATATTAATTTTTTATTGATATCATTAACTAATTTATTGGTAGTATAAAAATATAAATGTAGATAATTTAAAAAGGAATCATTTTTTAATGCTATAAATGAATTAGTAATAATAATAAAATTAATTATCCTTTACTTTGTTGTTTTTTTTTATTATTTGGATTATGTTTATTTCTTTTTTTTAACTGCTATATATTTAAAATATTTTTGACTATTATCAGTTTATGTTGTGCTTTTACTGAGTGCACACGGTTAAATGATGACTGAATTGTTACGTATGGTTATTTATTAGTGTTCACGTATAATTTTTGGAATTAATTCACACATAGTCATCATGTTTAATGTGTAATTTCTTGTACAACATATATCAAGTTTCTATTATATTTTTTTTATATTATTGTATAATTTTATAACTTTGAACTTGTTGTCATATTTATTTTTTGTTATATAATGATATCACGTTGTCTTTGTTATGTAATAAATAAAGTAATTTTTTCATCATTAACCGGTTTGGTCGTCTAAAGAAAATCAACCTTGAATAAAATTAATATTAATAAGAAATTAAAAAGTAAATCATATTAAATAATTACAAATATATTATCTTTTTTTTTGAAATTTTTTGTGTTATAAATTTATATTGTGCTCAGTGTTAAACGTTTTACATTTTTATTTTTCGGGCAATAATCACTGATCAAATGTAAGACAATATGCAAATGAAACGTACAAAAGTTTTTTTGTTATGCTAGAGGAGAGATTGTTGAAAATACCAGGGGCGGGGGCCGAATTGAATTCTCTGTGGAGGTAGTGCTATTATTAATTTACGAGGATCAAAGGCGATGTCACACGACAGCTAATTAGCCCCGCACGGCATGGCGGTAGACTCAGAGTATGTAGAAGCGCAAGCCGAATGTATCCCTATGAAAGGCCTGCGCGAAAATTCATTTACGAAGTGGCCTGTCGTCGACGCGCTGACAGTCGAAAGCAGAACGTAATAATAATCGAATATCATGTCACCGAAATTTCGACGCAAGTTTTCCGAATTCTATCTATAAAGACATTAGAAAAGAGACGAAGAAATAATTTGCAGAACATTATTGTTGTGTAATTTAATGTAAAGCGACTATGTGAAAAGAAAGTTCAACTGGAGCTTTACATTATTGTTTATCATTTAAGTTTGATGATAGGATTGGATAATTATAAAACTATGTATTGCGATTATGAAGAGAAAGCATGTTCATTAAATTGCAATATAATATAAAATATATGAAATTGCATTATATGGCTTTCAAAATATATTTATCAAATTATTTCCAGTATCTAGATCGCTGTTGTTATATATGGCTACGTTAATAAAATGTGTAGTACCTATATTTGAAGTGGAAAGAAAGGCTTTCGATACCGCGAACATTGTTTTTATCTGAAACAACGTTACAGTTGTGCCAGCAAAAGCAGAAAGACCTGTCGTCACAATGTGCCAGTGGTGAAACAGTCACGAATTTGTTCTCTATGTCTTTACTTCATCCTTCTTTCTCTTAATTCGGTCATGTCACTCTATCGGAAATTAGAAGGTAGCGGCTCGCTGATTCCTTCCATTTCCGGTTGAGATGTGGCGCATCGTGTCGGTGAAAATTCACCCTTCGAGGTGTTCACGGATAAATTATCGTGCAAAAGTGAAGAGCGCGATAACAAAGTTCTGTTTCGACGAGAAAATTCACCCATACGACTTGCTTTTTTTATTTTTTATTTTTTTTTTTCATTTTTTTGCACAAAGAGAATAGTTATTCGATAAAGTCCGGAATGCTTTTAACGTTTCAATGCTTTTTAAGTTTCAAGCAAGATGTGTTGAGTGTGATTAAAATTTACATTATTTTGAAGAAAGTAGCTTAAGAATCACATTTTTTTAAAATAAAAAAATTTGAAATTGTTTTTTTTAAGTTTTTAAAAAATTGCCTCTAAAATTGAAATTTTTTTATTAATATTGAAATTTAGTATTAATATATTTGATACATATGTTTAAGTGCTTTTTAAAACAGCACGATAATATTAATATATGTATATAATTATTATTTGAAATAATGTTAATCTTTGTTAGTTCAATTCTCATTTCTATTATACTAGTTTAGTTATGATTAAAAATTTATAAAATTATTTAATTAAATTTCTGCTTATTATTGCATGCATGAAAAATAAAATTTAATGTATACAATTAAAATTTTTTAAAAATAGTTTAGGTGCTGCTACAATTTGAATTTTACTTGTATGTTACAGATCAATGAATCTTGAGAGGAGGAGGAGGTCTGAAAGAGACATCGGGCAGAGCAACTATAGGGTGCGAGGATATTGGTATTTGTCTATTAGTTTTATTGAATCAAAATTCATAACATGTTTTAATTATATTTCTGCTGAATATTGTACGCGCGTAAATATAAAAAAAATATAAAAATCAATGTATATACTATAATAGTTTTCTGAAATATTAATTAAATTGGTGGTGTTGTGCTATAATTTTTATTTTATTTATATGTTACAGATCACAGCGTAGCTTTGATGCGTCGTATACATCTGCTGTTGTGCGTCGATCGATGAGTTATATAAATTATTATTTTATATTAGAAGATAACGGTGTATTGTAGATTAGATAATGTAGATATAGATGTATATTGTAGATTGTAGATTGTTAGTTTCCGTTATCTCAAATTGGATGGATTACAAAATGGATAGATTAAGAATATTTCCGTTTAATAACAGAAATATTTTATATATATAATATATAACATATATATAGTATATTTAATCTAATTTATTTTACAAAACACACAATAATTAATGATTATAAATTGCGCGTGTGATTATAAATTTTTGTATAATTGATTATAATAATCATAATTACTTATTGTTATAATGTATCGATATTATATTATGGTTTTGTAATCCATTGATTTATGTTGATTGATAATTTGAATTTATATATAGTTAAAATTAAAATGTGTGATAAAATAATGTGAGATCTTAAAGATTTAAACGATATTTTGCCGTTATTTTGCCGCGATTATAAGAAAAATAAAAAAAAATATAATTTGCAACAATAATAATATACGATAATAAGTTACGATAATTTACGATAATAATTTATGATAATAATTTACGATAATATTTTACAATTTTTAATGCAAATTCTATTACGCGTTACTTTTTTTCTTTAAAATTGGTCGAGTAAATTGATTTATTATCGAATTATCGCGATGCATAATAAAAGTCGATGCATAATAAAGAATATATAAACATATTAAAATAATAATATTATAATAATTCTTTTTGGAAATAGATATAAAAAATATCGCTCGTTTTATTGTTAGTACATATGTCCTCCTCCACAGTATCGTGCGTTTAATGCGGAAATTTGATTAAAAGTATCGCGCGTTTAGTGCGGAAGTAAAGTATCGCGCGTTTAGTGCGCGAATTTCATTCAAAATATCGCGCATTTAAAGCGGAAGTGTCGTCCAAAGTATCGCGCATTTAGTGCGGGAGTTTCGTTCAAAGTATCGCACGTTTAATGCGGGAGTGTCGTCCAAAGTATCGTGCGTTTAGTGCGGGAGTTTCGTCCAAAGTATCGTGCGTTTAGTGCGAGAGTGTCGTCCAAAATATCGCGCGTTTAGTGCGGGAGTTTCGTTCAAAATATCGTGCGTTTAGTGCGGGAGTGCTTTTCAAAATATTTTGCGCGTATTTCGGAAATCGGACTTTCACAAATAAACAGACAATTGTGATCAACCCGACTTGAGAGGAGGAGGAGGCTTGTATAGGAGGCATCGGACACCAGCGGAGCAACTCTGGGGTGAGTATTGTAATACTGTATAATACTTGTTGTAAATTAAATATATGTATATTACACTTTCTACTTCTATATTAAAATAATTTAAAAAAGAATTAAAGAGGAATGCTTTTGATATATAATTCTTCTAAAAGTTTATTTTATAAAAGATAAAATCTTTACATAATTTATACTGATGATTGTACGCATTAAATATAAAATTAAATAGGCACAATAATAATTTTTGATAATATTAATTATTTAAAACGCTGTTATATTAATTTAATTTGTATGTTACAGGTCAACGTAGCTTCGATGCAGTTATAACTCTGCTGTTGCGCATCTGTCGGTGAGTGATTAACTATATTATTTTATTAGGAGGTAACGGTTAAATTGTATAGATGTAGATCTAGATCGTAGATTGTAGTTAGTTCCCGTTACCTCAAAATTGTAGATGTAGATCTAGATCTAGATCGTAGATTGTAGTTAGTTCTCTGTTATCTCAAAATGATTGTTAAAGAATATATATACTAAAGAAAGAATACTATATACAGATCATAAGATATTAAACAATACAGAACTGAAAAGGAAATGTTTTATATTTTTACTACACATCCGCGTTTTAAAAAAATTCTATGTACGCGAAATCTACGCAATTTTACATACATATATATTTCTATAATTTAAATTCATAATTTTAAGTTTATAATATGATTATCTTTAAAAAAAATCGGCAAAGTTTTTACATACAATTTTATATAAAATTTTTATATAAAATTATTTATATGAGACAAAATTGACTTTAATAACGTCCTGATAATGACCTTAGTATATGTTTTTTAATGTTGCATTGGATAATACTAAATTATGCGAAATTCTGCAATATCGTATTTTTTTGGTCACTCTACCGATATTTTAATACATATTTTAGTTTCATTGAAATATATAAAAATCTAATTTATATATGCGTATACATGCGCTATCCCTAAATATTTTTTAGATATTCTCTCAGATATGTACATACATACTGGATTTAATGTAATCCAGATATAATTATAAAGAATGTTAAATAGATAGTAAAAAAATCCAAGATATTAATTATAATTACAGTTATAATTTATAACAATTATATCTTTGGAAAACGAATGATATATTTAATTGAGATCTAACATGATTATATACGATTATAATTTACAAGATGGTTTTATATAAACTTTGGCATGAGTAAAGATGCAGCGAAATATTTTATCAATCTGTTATACACAATATGCAGTTTGATTACGTTTTGTTGTTTAACCTTTCGCTTTTATCACTAAATGCAGAATAAAACGGACTAGCGCAGCCGTTGTCACGCCGCTGCCGACGTTTTGTTCTAATTGCAGACGAATTAATGTCGCTGGATGAGTGAACCTCGCTGAGTTGATTGGTATGCTCAGTACATATCTGGCTTAATATCGTAACGACGACTGTCGGCATATAGTAAAACCGCGTGGGTGGAGAGGAAAATTGATTCAGTAAATATAATTAGAGCGCAAATTGCCGGCTCTCTTTTATCTCGAAAACTCAATTAAAATAAATTTGAACGTGAACGAGATTTTGTCCCATTTTTAAATGCATGCGCATGCGACTGACAGACTAGAAACACATCACTTTTGTGTATTTTCCCCCTTTGCTTTTTTATTTTTTTGTTTATTTATCTAGTTGTTATCTTTTACAACATTCGATTAAATATATGCTGATACGCTTTGAGAAAATTATTTTTATGTTAAATTATGTACTCATATATATGTACATACATACATATACATATAATTAATTATTGACATATACGCGTATAAAAAAAATATCACAAATACGATATAATAATTTATAAAAATAAAATTAGTTACTATAACTAAATTTGAGCTGTCCTTATATTATATACACATAAAATTTAGTTATCTTGCCTAAATTTTAGCTATGGTAACGAATATTTTAGCTATAGACTTCTCTGTTAAACTATAACTAAAAATATTATATAGTTACCATAGTTAAAATTTAGGCATGATAACTAAATTTCAGGTTGTAATATAGGGATAGCTAAAATTTAATTATGGTAGCTAATTTTTTTCGTGATTGATTATTACGTAATATACATTATTAATTAAAATGTGGAGAATAAAATGGCAATTTTTTAATCCATAATATTATTATTATCCGAGTTGAAACTTTTCTCTTTCTTTCACTTCTCAACGTTTAATCTAATATCTTCTTTAATATATACTTTATACTATAAATTATTTAATTTATAGTTTTGTCGAAAACCTTTCTTTGAAATCTCTAACAAACTATTTGTTTATTGTCTATTTGAGGTACTAAGGTAGAAGCTCAATGCAATATAATTCCTATGCACATAAATAAAACTTATCAAAATTTTTAGAAATTCTTATATATGAAATAAACATGAAAAAAATAAAAGAAAATAGAAGTAAAATTTTGACTCGGGACGGAACTTTCATAGCAGTATCAGATACATACGTGAAGACATTGCATTATTCTACGAGTGCAAACACGTTCGATTCCTTTCACGAATTTATAATATTCGCGAAACGAACAGAGATCTGCTGTCGGCTCATATTAAATTCTCTTCCGTGTCGTTTGTTTGAAAAAAGTTGGACTGTGTGTCGAGTGACTGTTGCAATGTAGTCGCAAACGCCAGATAGGTTTTAAGGGTCACCGTGACGTCATAGGATAGATCAAGGAAAGAGAGTGAAGAGATGAATAAATTACGAGAGCGCTGACACACTGCCAGTGATAGGAATGAACAAATGGCAGCTCGACTATTTTTAAATGCGTTATTATAGTCAGCCGTTTAAATTCTCTAAGCTTTAGTTTATTTCATTTTTCACTCCATTTAAATGTCGATATACCGTTTAATTGACATCATTTTATATTATTAAATACCTTTTTAAAACGTAAGAATGAAAGTAGAAGCACGAAATTTTAAACCTTATGTATATTACATTATCAGACAAGTGCGAGCACAAAATAAATCACCTTTGGTTATATAATTTTTATATTTAATTTATTATTTAATTTATTTAAAATTTATATTGAGTAGAAGTAAAACTTTATATTTAGAAGATGTGGGAACATGATTACACGTTATTAATGAATAACGCAGAATGCTTTGAAATTGTCCGATGAAATTACATATACATATAATCTCATCTCTCCAAATATAATTGTTACGAATATATATATATATATATATATATATATATATATGTATAATTAATAATATATAATATTTTAAAATATTATTATATTTTTTTAAATGTTATTATATTTTTAAGAAATAAATTTAATTGTCAAACTTGCTTTGCATGATTTAGAGTACAGCTTATTTGATTTTTTTTTATTTTAACTGTTGACACAGAAATACGAAAACTGTTTATGTCGCATCTGCTGTATATACATGAGGGTATGGCGCCAGAAACATGCGACTTTGTGACGCCATTCTTGTTTTCTTACAATGTTTACCCAGTTTTGCTCTAATCTTATTATATCCAGATGGTTATTTTATGATTCATTTTTTAAATCGCGGTTGCAGTAGAAATTGTAATTGCACTCTAAGATAAAGAAATCTTTATATATTGAGAAAATATTTGCGCGAACTGTTTGATAATATTTCTTTCTAAATCGATGTCTATAAAAATTAATTTTTTCATACAGCAGACAAAATAATTGTTAGCTTCGGTGATTATTTCATAAAGTTGAATTGCGTGTAATATAAATCTTAGCTCATGACGTTAGATGATTTATATGTCGTTCAAGTTGATTTGTGATTCTCACGTTTCCTAGATAAATAGCGTAAAGTTTATTTTAATGTACATTGCAGATGGTTCCTGACCATTGCGCTAAATCACGAGTAATATAGTTGTCGTGGCTCACTAGCAGGAAGCATTACAGAGACATTCCGTGTACTGAAATATAGTTTGTTGTAATGTTACATGTAGTCATGCGTCATGATTTTCAAATGCAATTTGTTTGTGCAAATTTGATTGTTGTCAATTACGAGATGTGTTATACTTTCGTTTGAATAATCTTGTCTTCTTGAGAATTTAAAAAATTATGAATGTACTCGAAAAGAAAGAAAAATAAATAAAAAGGAAAAGAGAAAGAGAGAGTGAGAGCGAGAGAAAGAAGGGAAGGAGAAAGGGAGGGAAGGAAGGAAGGAAGAAGAGAAGCTTTTCTGAGTGCAAACTTTCTGCATCTCGTCGTTGGCATAATAATTTTCTCATATTCATATTCATAAGTACTGCATGCATATTCACAATAAATTTCCCAGCAGAATCGCTGTACTGGAAAGTGTAAATTATTTTGTAACAAATTGAAAGCTGTCTACGTGGATGTTCAGTATAGAAGCAACGTTCTCGGGGTGCCATATCTCATTCCCATACAAATAGTTTAAGTTAGTCTGATGAGAAATTGTCAATTCCAGCTTTTCGCGTATACGATTGAACCGCATTGCAAGCGACACGAAAGTGCGAAGTGTTAGACTCGAGTTTGCTCTAATTATTTAGTTTTGACACTTGATTTAATTTAATATAAGAGAAAATGTTGCAAGAAAAAAAAATAAAATGTGAAACAACAGACAAGATACTTTAATTTTGTAATATTAAAAATGTTAATAATTCTAAATATTAGAGTGTATAAGAAATGTCACAAAAATTTGTTTTCGAAGAATTGTAAATCTTTTTAATTTTTGTTAAAAAGAGAAAAGAGGAAAAAAAGACAAAGATAATTTTTGTCAATATATTCGATTTCCAGATTAACAAACTTTTGGTATTTATTTTGCATAATATAGATTTGTTCTATTTTGAAAACGAATGATGTGATAAATTTTGTTATGCGCCAAGCGACATGAATCTTCCAAAAATCTCTATTCTGATATATGTATCGTTGAATCTTGCCAGCACATGCATAATTCGCAACGAATGACTTTTTCTAAATAATGATTTTTTGCTCAATAAATAATCATAGCCAACGATATACTTTTATCTAATGATCGATCATCTATTGAAATAATTAGTTTATCTGTGTGTTACATTCAAGTTAACTTTTTTTAATACAGTGGTTATACAAAATATTGTACTTATAATAATTTTATAATTTAAAATTTTTTATAATTATTTTTTATAAAAAAATATACTTGAAGAAATAGAAATAGAAATAAAATATATATCAAATATTTGCAATTTTATTTTAATCTTTCTGTCTTTTTCCCTTTAATTTTCACTTTCAAACATAATGTATGATATAAAGTACAAAATTTCATAATTATTCATAATTATTTTAGTCAGCTGCTATATTACAGATATTTTTAAAATCAAAATAAATAAATATAAAATGATATGTAAATATACTCTCTTCGAAACAGATTCATGACTGCTCGAAAACACGTACTGCTTGTGGAAAACGTGTTTTCAATCGAAATTGTAAGTAGCTTCACGATAAGTCCCCAGGAGTCAATAAATCGGGGGCCTCTTCCCATCTACGATGACCTATGCTCGGATGCACCGTCCGTCTTTCTCTCGCTCTTCTCTCTTCTGACCGATCGTCCTGTCATCGTTTGTCTTTGTCGTTTCCGCTGACCAGGCCACCACTGGTTCACCTCTGTCGAAGCTAACTTCTCCCCTCCGGCAGGACAGACTAGGTCGGCGAATCGAATCCAGCGTTTATTTCTTGCTGCAGAGAGTTGCCGGAGGGTGCGAAATTTTCCAAGTAGTACGCGTGAATACAAGAGAGATAGAATAATGCAGTAGGGAGAGACAAGATAGATCGTACAAAGATCCAACCGGAGAGAGTAAAATGATACGAATCAAAGAGAGAGAGAGAGAGAGAAAACGAGACTATAAAATCGTACGTGAAAAAGAACAGGATGAATGAGACGACCGAAACACACAGTGGATCGACGGAAAGTATCGGTTTGTTCGTAGATGGAGGGGTGAAGAAAATAACAGAAGAGAAGGCTATCTGCGCGAGAAAGAATACATTAGTTCGAAATGCAAAAGGAAGGAATGCATAGAAACGCAAAAGAAACAGGGAATCAGATCGACGCCAGAGCGACGAAGATATTGTTGAAGAACGAAGGATCAAGCGAGATGGAAAATAAGAGAGAAACTACGTGGAAGGCAGTCCGAGTTGGATAAACGAAGAACGCGCTTCGACGAGTGCGAGAAAGATAAAAAAAGTACGAGAAGTTAAGGGAGAACTCCGGATTGAAAGAGAAAAAGAGAAAGATGGATAGAGAGAGAAAGAGACAGAGCTTCGCAGATAAAAGAGAGGGGTGCGCTTTCCCGCGAAGGGTGAGAGAGGAAAAAGGCCAGGGTGGGAGAGCTTGCAGCCACCGCACAGCTACACCCACGGTGACGATCGAGGCGGACCACCTCACTCTCAGTCGTCCGCGCACCCTCGAACGGTGAGGGTGGTTCGTGCTTGGTGGTGAATAATATTCATCTCCTTGCTTTCGCCGCCGCCAGCACCGAGTGCAAGCCACGTCACACTCCGCCTGTTTCAGCTGACCTCCGATCTGTGCGACGTTTCCCGCCGACGTCACAGCTGTGCGGGCATTCGACCTTTGGCGACTGACAAAGGGTGAGTAAGTAAAGCTATTCAGCTAGAAACTCCAAAAGGGATCAATCGAGACACCGTTCTTTCGAGGCTCATTCGTGTTCAACGGTAAAGTTTGATCGAGTGTTTAATTTTTGTATACTTGATTAAAAGCGATTTTTTTTAGTTAGTTAGGCTTGGCATCGAATGATACTTGCTAGGAAAATGATGCATAGTAGTTTGAGTTAATTTAACGAAAGATAAACTAACAGGAAAAATTTTTCGGAACAAAGTCAAATATATTTCTAGAATTGATATAATCGACTTCTTTTTATATAGTTTAATTGTTAATCCAAAAAATATAAACTTTACAACATTAATTGCATAAAGGACGATATAGATAATATAGGAAACATGTCTGGCTTTATACGAAAATATTTCATACGATTTATAAATATGCAAATCCATTGATATAGACACAATTATCTTGAGAAATCATACTGAATTTGGAAGCATCGTATTCCAAAGCTCATGAATGTCATGAACCAATCGATGCTGAGGCTTTGCATTGAAACAGAGGCATTTATTGGTGAATTTCTCTGTCGTTAAGGGAATTAAGTATAAATTGATTCATTATTTGCTCGTTAAATTTGACAATCAGGGAACTTGTTCGATACATTGTTAAGCGTCAATGAGATTGCACTTGAAATGAACGAATTTATTGGAATATAGTTCAGACTATATACGATAGAGATTGTCTCTTTGTTAAGAACTTGTTATGTTTTAATTATTGAAGTAGCACGAACGAACAACTAATGAGATTGGAGTGATGTAATTTTTGTTAATCACAATTGAGTCAGTTAATCGAGTTTATTAAGGCTCATCGGTTAGATATCGATTTGACTAATTAGCATGGATAGCACATTTCGCTCGGTCTTGAGATGACATGCCTGCATATACACATAATCGTTAATATACTATATTATATTTATTGATTGTGATACAATCTATAATATTTAAAATTTTACAAAGACAGGGATAATTTTTTATTATTTAATTTTAAAATATATACTTGAAAAATATGTAGCAATTATTTAGTAATATTAAATAGAGATGAGAATTATATGTCAAACTTTCTTATGAACTTATACAAATCTTTGTAAAGACATGTGACAATTTCTATTAAATATGCATAAATATTTAATTATAAATATAAATATATAATTATATATAATTATATATGTCTCAAAGTTTTCTATAAATTTATTATAAAATGATGCAACACATCTTTGATAAAAGTTTTCTATTAAAAAGCTAAAAACGTATACTTGCGCCTTTAAAAACCGGTGCAAAATATGAATTCAAGATTGAGAACACACAATCGCCGGCGATAAAGTATCTCGCACTTGTCTGGAAATGAAGTTGCGACGAACGTCGCTCGCATTTTGACGTGGAATCGGTGTGTAGCACGTTTCTGAAGCTCGCATGAGAGAGATCCTGAACATGTTTGCCTTGCTCGCGGAAGCAGAAAGCGAGGTTAAACAGGCAATGCTTTTTTCCTTTTTTCTTCCTCGATTTTCTCGCTGTACCTATTCGTGGTAATCGATACCCGATCGACGAAACGTTACTCACATTGCGTCCGATTGTTCGCAAATGACAGTCACACTGTTAAAAATTTGCAAGGTATTCCGAGAAACAATATTATGTAGCGATATTTAATAGATTTTTTTAAATGGCAATTATTATCCGAAGTAATTATTTTTCAACTTTTCCACATTTGCGATATTTCATGTGTCGTATAATGTTTATTATTATATTACAATGTCATTAACAAAGTATGATATTTGTAATCAATAACATATTCTTATATCATACTTCTTTCGGTGATTCTTTGAAAAATCTCGTAACTTTATTACATTTGACAGTTACATATCACCAATATTACAGTGACACCATCCGTCGCGTGTCACTTCCATTAACACCAGCTTGATGCTGCTTTTTTAATCGATACGTCGTATCGCACTGCGTCGTTGGGGTGTTGGAGTTATACCAAAGAGACATTAGTCCCTGTGCACACAAGGTTCTCCATTACTGCAAAATGGGAATAATAGGGGAGCACACGGGTATTGCAAATAATTTACTGCGCGCTTGTTTATCCGTTGCTACTGCAAATTGGATATGCGCTCGTCGGGAATAGTGTACGGTCTGTCTGTTAACGTGTTATCACCGTGATATTACAATATCTTGTTGATATGTCAAAAGTAAGGCGGAGAAAGAGGAACAGAGAAGGAGTGTTTGTGTTTATTCTATAGAATAAAGATATTTTTGCCATTTATCTAATATCTACTTTTCAACAAGAAAAATGTCTTTTCCATGTGTGACTCGTACTTTATACAAATTTGGGTCAACTTGCTATCTTCTAATATATCATGATTTTTGCATCAAATCTTGCCGAATCCAAAAGTATATTTGTTTATATATCATAATATATATGTATAGAATTTATTTAGGATTAATATATGTAGGGTTTTATAAGAGTTTTTCTTTATTTCATTCATATTTGTCCGCACGGTGGAGGGAATGAAAATAATTGCGAATCTAAAATTCCTCTATTCATTTTCTTTCCTTAAAATTAGCGTAGCATAATCTAATGCTCCAAAGATCTGTATATTCTTCTCCTTTTTAAAGGAAGCTGCGAAAATATAACGCATTTAATAATTCCAAATCCATGACGCACATATTCGATAATCATAACAATATTTTATACAATTGATTAATACTATTACGAATCTATTATTATATTACACACAGTTAACGTTACGTGATAAAAAATGATTTGCAAATATAAAATCTCATTTTTTTTATCAATTTCAATTTTTATATCATAAAATCGTTCAAAAAAAAAAAAATAAATAAAATTATCATAAATTCTGTGTGTTCTATAAAATTATATATTTCTTTTTATTGATAGTTAAATATATTGGGAATAAAAATATTAAAAATTGAGATAAAAACGGTAAAATATAAGCATGCAAAGCCTTAATTAATTACCATAATCATCGCAACATATCGCTTTATTTCTACACAGAAAAATAATTCATTACATCTCTCGATGATGGGACACAAGAATCGATACGCGTTTCTCGCGCATGTAATCGAATCTATGTTCTTCATGGGTAAGTTCTCTTCTAACTTGCAATGAAAGAGTTAACGAGTTTTCTGCACGAGACTATTATATCGGGTTCTCACTTCTATCGACAAACGGGAAGCATGTGATTCCTGTGAAATCGATGATTATCTCAATTCTTAAGATTTATTTTAACATGTAAATTAGGACGTAGAGCGCAATGTGGATATTTGCCGAGAGAGAGACGGGAGAGAACGTAGGCAATTTCTGCACTAAGTACGCATCGCAAAGCGAAGATGCGAAGTGTTTCTCGCAGAGACAGTTCGTGACTTCCACCGTCGCGGTTAACTGTCTTTCGCCATTACCAGTTTCCAACGAACGGTGGCTTTCATACATGGCTCGTACTCTGTTCCAATTTAAACGAGGCTTGCTTTGCGAAATGTTTGACATGTGAATCGTATGTTGAGGCACAGTTTTCCGAGATATTTGATTTATAAAAAACATTTTCAACGCGCAGCTACAATAGTTTGTGATAAATTAGTCCATTTATTAATCTGTAGTTGTATAGTATGTAGGTATAAATGTACTATATAAATGAAATATCTGTATACAATATATAGAGGGTTGAAAGGATAAATTGACTTAAAGAATTAATAAGATAAATTGTTAATTGTTAGTCTAATTGTAAATTAAAAACAAGGTTGTTAAGTAATTCACCACATTAATTATAGCAGTTTATGTTAATCTTTGATTTTGTGAACATCGTTAATGACGATCGAATTTTCACTTGAATTAGTCATTTAACGTTTAATAATTTTTAATTTAAAGTACCTTGACAAATGGACATGTCTAAGCGCAAATATGGCTAACAAATAATTTTTTATATATTAAATGTAAGCTGGAAAAGGACCCAATTTAGGATCGAAACGTCGCTAGAATAAAGATATTCATCTATAGTCAGTGTGGTCAATCACTCAACAATCTTGTTGTTAAAGAATTAATATTAACTTTCATCAGTAATAATTAGGACTAAGCTTGTTTGCTCATTTTTGTTTACTTTGATTATATATTGAAATAAAATGTTAAAATATTTCGTCCGTAAATTAAAAATGAAAAACTCTCTCTAATCAAATGTTAAATATAAATTACTCGGGATTCGTGAGTTTCCTAAAACTACCATGCAAATATTATTTGAGTGATGGAAGTGATGCAAATTGATTCACTACGAACACAAACAATTGTTGTTTCGCGCAATCATAAATATTCATCTACACACATAGTTTTTGAAACCGCATTAAGTTATGTAAACTAAGTAAATATTGTTTATGCATTTTAGATATAATATGCATAAGATAAGATTATATTACTTAATTACAACGACCTTTAAATTATGAGAATTGCTATGTTTTTCGAGTATTTAGATAAATATTTATATTATATCGAAGAATTTTGCGAGGAAACAGCTATACACGAAGAAAATTTTACAATACAATTTACATGAAAACAAATTACATTCTCTTTGATAATATTGATTATAAAGCTTGAAAATATAACTAATATTAATATTTATTATTATAACAAATGTAAATTATGCATTTGTTTTATTATTTATTAACAGTTTATTTATTATAAATGTATTTGTACATCAAAATATTTTAATAATTATAATACTATAATCTTTTGTGAAATATAATGCATATACTATAATATTATTAAATAAAAGTATAGTGATGTTTTTCTTATACGTTAGTATGTTCCATGATTATAAAAATGATATTGGAATTTTTACTATAATATTTTGTCCGTGTATGTAGATAAACAGTCGGTTAAATAATTACTGCCTTATACGAACTAATGGTTACTCCATTCTGTAGGTGTTGTCCAAACGAGAACTGTTTTACGAATTGTGTTGCGGCAA